TCAAAGCGAATAAATAAATAAGTAAAAATTAAAATGCTGAGTGAATGCAAGGAAACCATAAAACAAAGATGACCAAAAGTGTGCCCAAAATGACTCCTATAGAATAGAGATTTGGGAATGGGAACTGTTAGCTAAAGTTACTGATGGATCATACAATCAATTTGGTAGGTTTATTACTATTATTTTGTTTTGGATAAAACATTTTATTTTGTGTAAGCAAGGGTAGAGGTGTGGAGGTTGTGGTAGTTGGCTCTCTCCTTCCACCTTGTAGATTCAAGGGATGGGAACTTAGGGTCTCAGGATTGCAGGCAAAAGCCTTGACTTGTGGAGCTATCTTCCCAGACCTATTATTATTATTATTATCTTAAGAATAATGTAGAATAGAATATCTTAGGGACAGGAAAATGATAGTTCTATGAATCTCTTGTTTCAAATCCCCCTATTACAATATAAAATATACTTCTTACTAGCTAAAAAAGCACTGAGAGGAAAAATGTTTGCCTTGGGATATTAATACACAGATTCTCAGGCTCAGGAAATTCTTGGATCAGCAGCTCAGGAATTCTTTATTTCAAACAAGGTCCCTTGTGGTATACCCTGAACTTTGGAGTTTCCAGTCTGAGAGAGAACCTTTGTAGGGTCTGCAGTTTGCAGTGGTTTAACAGCCATGGAAGAGCTGCTCAACACATTAGTTCAGCCACATTTTCATGGTGCTCACCTATTTAAAAGGCAGGGAATAGGCATTTAATGACCATAAACAAAACGCGATTGCCCTCTTTCCGCCGCTGGCTTCATTTCTGGACTCTTTCCTCTCAATTCCTCCTGTGCCCTGGCCCCAAGAGACAGCCAGACCTGCTCTGCTATAGGACAGCCACACAGCTTTCATCATCCCATGTACACAGACGAGGGGTTGCCAGATGTGAGGCTGGAATGCAGCCTGTGGGGAAAGCTTGCTTAGCAAAGAACCAACAAAAGCCCAGGGCCAGTCACCAGATCGCTGTGTACAGCAGGCAGAGCCTGTCCTGCCCTAATCCTGGCAGAGTTATTAGCCACCTGTCCTGACAACTGCAAGCAAAATTCGCTGCAGTGAGAACCCCGCCACACTGGAGGCCTAGGCTGGCTTCTGGGGGCTTGGTGGGACCCCTCTCCTGCAGCTGTCTCTCTCAGCTTACAGCACGAGCCCACTCCTTAGCCTCAGCAACAGACCAATGCATGCACATGTAAGTCCAAGTATGCAGAAATGCATGCCGTTGCCTTCCCTATTCCTAGGTCACAATAATCCTAAAAGTCACGATTTTCCTCCCTCATTTCAGGCATACGTTTTATTTCTGGGTTGACTGACTACTACGATCAGACCGTTTGGGAAGAGGAGACAGGACTGTCCCGAGTTCAAGGTCATCCTGGACAAGGAGAGCCTGTTTCTCACTGCTGCCTTCCTTCCTAGCACTTGTAAGGCGGGCTGAAGCAAGAAGAAGGCTGAGATTTCAAAACTACACAGTGAATACCAGATCAACCGGGTTACACAGCAAGGTCTGTCTTAGATAATAATAAATAGAGAAACAAAGACAACCAAGTGTAGACTCATTGATTGCGTCAGTTCAGGTCCTCTCCTCTCCACTCTGGCTGAGGGAAGGAAGGCCCTCACTCGGTGACCAGCAGGACTGGAGGTGAGTTAGTACAGCACAAAGGGCTCCTCCCACCCCACCCCCCCATCCAGCCCCAGGACACTCAAAGTCTCCTCCTCAGTGGGCAGGCTTCCTGGCAGACATATTGTTGTGTGGGAGCTGCTACAATGTATTTTGTCTTTCCTCCTGACCTCCATTTTTATTTGTTTGTTTGTTTGTTTTGTTTTTTGAGACAGGGTTTCTCTGTGGCTTTGGAGCCTGTCCTGGAACTAGCTCTGTAGACCAGGCTGGTCTCGGAACTCAGAGATCCGCCTGCCTCTGCCTCCCAAGTGCTGGGATTAAACTGACCTCCATTTTTAAACTCCTAGACTACAGCAACTCTCCCTTATCTTCTGCCTGGTTCTCAAGGTGCTCTGCGTCAAAAACGACTTTTGACTTACATCCGTGGGCACGTGAATGTGGAACATAGGGCTGTCCCATTCCAGACCCAAAGCTATCCACAATGGGCAACTCAAACTTTGCTCATCTGAGCAGGAAGCATCTCCCACCACATTTGGCTGGTCAAACACCAAAGTGCTAGGGTTAAAATCCAGGCGCTAAAAACAGGAGTCACGGTAAGTTGTTTTTTTTTGTTTGTTTGTTTGTTTGTTTGTTTTCGAGACAGGGTTTCTCTGTGGCTTTGGAGCCTGTCCTGGAACTAGCTCTGTAGACCAGGCTGGTCTCGGAACTCAGAGATCCGCCTGCCTCTGCCTCCCGAGTGCTGCGATTAAAGGCGTGCGCCACCATCGCCCGGCATCACGGTAAGTTTTAAAGAGAAAGAGTTCTTCATGCACAGAGTCAGAATAACATTATGGACAGTTTAGCATTATTATATCACATTATATAAGTCAATTGACTTCCCAAACCAGTGTCGGAAATTTTGTCGACCAATGTTAACGATTGTATGCCCCTTTCATAATAAAAGCTTCACGGGTCTATTCAATCCTCACAGCAACCCAATGAGTAGGGATTATTGCTCCATTTCACAGAAGAGACTGAGGCTCAGACAGCTCACATAATTTCCCAAGAGAGATAAAAGGCGACATCAGGATTCAAGTGCAGATTTGTCTGAACTTACCTCCATACCTCTCTAGTCGACCTCATATATTATTATTTATTTGTTTAGGTTTCCAATTTTGAGGCAGCCTCACTGCAAACAAAGCTCATGCTTTCCAGGAATCCCCTAGCCTCCCGCCTCAGCCTCCTAAGCCCCGGGACTAGAGATGTAGCCACCAGCCAGGCGGTGGTGGCGCACGCCTGTAATCCCAGCACTTGGGAGGCAGAGGCAGGCGGATCTCTGTGAGTTTGAGGCCAGCCTGGTCTACAAAGGGAGTTCCAGGACAGGCACCAAAGCTACAGAGAAACCCTGTCTCGAAAAACCAAAAAAAAAAAAAAAAGAGATGTGGCCACCAGACACCATACCTGGCATTGATGTGGGTTTGCTCCCTTTCTTACAGAGGTTTTTGAGAAGCCAGAACAGATTTTTTTTTTTTTTGAGACAGACTCTCCTGGAACTCACCGTTTAGATCAGGCTGGCCTCTAACAGGAGATCTGCCTGCTTCTGCCTCCTGACGCGGGATTAAAGGCGTGCGCCACCACACCAGACTACAAAGCGGGTATTTTATTACATTGGCTCTGCAGGGCTTCACTTCTATGCTTTCCTCAGTCTGTTTACCCATTCACCACTCATCCTGTGTCCGTGTCGACTCTGCTCACCTCCTCCACTGAGAGTCTCAACTCTGGCCAGACTCTGACCCCTGCTCCTCGCTCCCCATACGGTAACAAGTCTCAGAGCACGTATCCTCTATCCTCTACCTGCTACAGTTCAGTCTGTTTACTGACCTGTCCCTTTCAAGGGTTCAGCGGGCAGGGGTTAGTTCGAGGCCAGCCTGGTCTAGAGTTCCAGGACAGCCAGGGTCACTTAGACAGAGAAACCCAGTCTCAAAACAACAACAACAAAAAACAAAAAGAAGGATTGGGAGTGTTCAATGAGGCAAGACTGTTAAGTACTCAAGTCCACCAGGAACCATCTTTCTCCCTCCCTATTCTACCCTTACTAGATGGCTTGTCCAGTTCTCTGGGATCTCACAGTGGCTCTTCCTTTTGCCTCAGGTTCTTTACACCAGGAGACATTTTCCAGACCTACTCCAGCTCTCTCCCCTCCTTGCATTTGCTTAAAGGTTGCTACCCAATTAAGGGTTTTCGTCAACACCCAGTTTGCCATCTATCTTCAGACTCCAGGACTTCCATTCTCCCACGCTTCATGTATTTTTGTTTTTAGCTGCCATGGACCTAACACATCACATAAAATAGCGTGTCCACTGTGTTTACAAAATAATCCCCTCACTGGAATGGACACTCTAAGCTCTTTAAAAATGTGTGTGTTTTGTTCACTGCTGTGTTCTTAGCATTAAACTGTGGAGCACACGGTGTGTTTCTGCAGCAAATACTTGCTGAATCACTCTTTTTACAAGACTAAAAGAAAACAAAACAAAAAAGCCCACCAAACAAACAACACAAAAAACCCTGATGACGCCTCAGGTCAGTGCACTACATTTACTCTGTGGCTGAGTGCCGGAGTCTTGCTCTACCCTGGAGGCACTGATTTACAAATGCTTGGGGAATCAGGCAATGGGAGTCACTAGTAAGGGACTAAATTAAGGTAAATCCCATTTTCATCAATCCATTTTACATCTGGGAGATAGAACTGAGAGAAATGCTGAAACTATAAACCCATTGTTTGGATCATTTGTTACACACGAGGTTAAGCCATAATGACTAGCTGCATATAGGGGGACGGTGGGGACCAGACTAAGTTTTAGGGCTCTACGACTGTAACTATAATGCCACAGTAATGGAAACTCAACACCCCAAGAGTCTGTTACAAGTGGAGCAGGGAGGTAAACATTCTCGTCCTAGATTAACATTTACCTTCCTAATGAGTCTACAAATAACCTAAATGCTTAAGATATAAAGTTCACTCTGGTACAGAGCAGTGAATTAGGACCAAAGCGATCCTCTAAGACCCTCGCTTATATTCCCATTTATCAGTGTGCTGAGCTGGACTTTGAGCGGGGAGATTCCCTTGTAAGGAAAAGGGCAGGAATGCTGTCTCCTGGGTTAAAAGTTTCAAGTCAATTGTGAACCAGAAGATAAAGAAAGACCTACCAAGATTCCGAAAGAGACTGCTTTCCACTTCATTGCAACACTTCAAAACTAGGCGGTTTTAGGTACCCATCCTAAAGATTCCCCAAGGAAATAGTTCAATCAACTTAGTTCAAACAGAACACTTCAATCCATTTCTTACACAACTTGAATTTTAGTGCCATACGGTACCTGGAAAGTTCTCTCGATTGAGCTTAGGCCGACGGATGATCACAAAGTCTTTTTCGCTGCCTTTGCTCTTTAGCCGTTTCCTTGGGGGGCTCTGAGGGTGGCCGAGGTTTGAGAGCAGTTCATGTGGAATGTTCTCACTGTCCACCTCCTCCTTCTCCAAGGCAGAGACACCCATGCCGGAGAGCAGTTCAGAAGTCTTGTTGGAATCCCATCCCCACGTGAAGCTGGTGGTGACGTTGCTACTCTGGTCCGGAATCTCCTGAAGGTGCTTCCTGCAGAAGGGCACACATTCCCCAATCCTTTTGAAAGCACACCCCTAAATAATTCCAAGGTAGGAATGAAAGAAGCGTCAAGTACGCAGTGTGGAAAAGACACACCGAGAAACAGTACTGCAGTTTAACATGCCTGCAGCAAGCTTCCAAGAATGAAAGAGAAAATCGGAAACCCACACACACCCCACTGTGAAAGGCTTTCGGACTGATGGTCACGCAGAAGGCCTCAATAACTTCTTCCCGTGGAGGGAAAAAGACGGACAGCATTCATACCATGATTCAAAAGAGTGGGAGGAAAACCCAATTAGGAAGCCGAATTGAAAGGCACATAGATATTCTCACTAAAGCATGCATCCATCCATCCACTTTCTTCAAAAAAAGGGGCTAGGCAACCATTCACAAAAAAAGATTATTTGAGCAAGGAGCAACATTCGCGGCCTAAAAGCATTTCAAACGATTCATTCATGCTTTGCCCCGTTTTTGCAATCGGTTTACCTGTGCATTGCGTCCACGGATTCAGGGGTTTTGAATGCGTGCATTAATTGAAGATCTGCCTGCTCCCAGAATCCCGCTCCAGCGCGCGGAGCAGAGAGATTCCCCCCACGGGGCCCCACAGCCGGACCCGCGAACTAGCAACGTTCCATCACCACCGCGCGCGCGGAGTTCTGCATCCCGCTTTCCAGCAGCCGCCTTCTGACGCCCCGTCGCCTGCTGGGAATTGTAGTTCTGGGCGTGGCTCCCTGTCCGACTAGATTCCCTCCTCCTTTTTGCCCAGCCCTCCAGATACCCACAACCCCCCGCGGCGCAGGGCGGGACGGGGAAATGAAGGGGGGGCGGGCGAGCGGAAGTGGGCGGAGCTCAGGCTGACTGGGAAATGTCAGCCGATTGACTGGGTGAGGGTTTTTCTTTTCCCCGCGCCCACAGGCCTTCGGGTGACCACCGCTGCAGTCGCCTCGGACCGTGTGTCTCCGACGCCGACACACTGCTGCGGACGCGAAGCTTCTCAGTCCCTTCCGGGCCCTGTCTAGAGAGATCCGACGGTGAGCCTAGTGGGGGGGCGCGTGCGGCGCGTCGGGGTCTGGGGTCCCGGCCCAGCCTGGCGGAGATGGACGGGGTGGGAGGGGGGTTCGACATTGCGAGCGGCCGCCACCGCCAGGCCCTGCTCCCAGGTCTCGGTCGCCCGGCCGCCAGGTGAGAGGCTGCGGGTGGCACGTCTGCCCTCCCGCCAGTCGGCTGCTTCCTCCACTTGGCAGTGGGCGGCCCTTAGGACCGGGGCCGTGGGCACCATCCTCACCTCACCTCTGAAATAGCACGGCGCACACACACACCCCACGGGCCGGGACTGAGGATCAGATCGGACAGCCTGCGTTTGCAGGGCTTTTTAAGCTAAAGCGCAATTCCAAGAGAAGCCGTGCTTTAATTTTAGGGTAGCAGGGACCAGCAGGGCTTCCCGCGAGTGTCTTGTATCCTTGATGCGTTTCTCAAATGCAAGCAAGGGAACAAGAAGACGATGTGCCTGCAGAGAGAAAACCCTGGGAAGCTGTTGCGGTGCTTCTGACTCAACCCATAGCCGAGAAGCTAGGCTAATTTAGGCTTTTTGAAGAGGTCGGGGGCGATTAGATTAGGATGACCGTGCGAAATGCGAGTGTGCAAACTGCGCTAAAAATGTGACTCCCGGGCAGCAAGGGAGAGGGTAGGGGACGCATTTCAAGTCCAATAAAAATGAAGAGGATCTATGAAGTTGAGCAAAAGGCAGGCTAGCCCCATCAAAAACTTAATATTGGTTTTTGCCTTAGATAACATGCCTTTGTGTTTCTTTGGTGGTGGGGAAGATTCCTTTTTATAATGGAATTAAATCCCTCTCACTCAGGTGTGTTTCTACCTGTTCTTTGCATCAATTACTTATTGACAGAGGAAGAGGCATTTATAAACCCATAGTTCTTGAAAGTGAGAGTGGTGTGTGTGTGTGTGAGAGAGAGACAGAGACAGAGACCGAGAGAGACAGAGAGATCTGACCTCTGACTTGATCTGGTAGCGCAAAGCTTTAATCTTAGTACGCGGAAGGCAGAAGCAGGCAGATCTCTGTGAGTTTGAGGCCAGCCTGGTCTACAGAGTGAGTTTCAGGATAGCCAGAGATGCTACACAGAGAAACCTTGTTTCAGAAAACCATGGAGAGAGGGAGGGCAGAGAGAGAGAGAGAGAGAGAGAGAGAGAGAGAGAGAGAGAGAGAGAGAGAGAGATCTCAAAGTGATTTTAATTGAAAGGAAGCAAAGGCTATTCCCGAGGCAGAGACAGGCAGAAGCTGTGAGTTCAAGGCCAGCTTGGTCTGCAGAGCAAGTTTCAGGATGTCCAGGGCTACACAGAGAAAAACAAAACAACAAAACCAACCAACCAACCACCCAAACAATGAGAGTATTCACAGTTCATTCATTCATACATTCATTCATTCATTCATTCATTCATTCATTAAGCATTGCAATAAGAAAGCATGTTAAAAATGAGACCTTCCGAGGTTTCATATGTAGTTACTTTTTTATTACTTTGGAAAGCTCATTTACCTTCTCTTGAACCCCCATCCCTTCTGTTATGATTCTAACTCATTCACAAAAACAATAAAAAAAATATGCAGTCCACTTTTTAAGGAGAGTGAACAAGACAGAGCTTGTAAACTAAAGAAAGAAAACACAGCAACAGTAGTTTGACACCCTGATAATAAAGTGTTGAGATAGAAAGTAATTAATTAGTAAAAAGCACCTCAAATAAAGATCTTGTAGGTGGGAAAGCTTTGCCTCAGGAATGGAACTATTCTCTTTTTGCATATCTTCTAATCACAGCTGTTACCTTAGTGGGTAAAAGTTTTAAGGCTCAAATTGGCACATATGATTCTTTTTGATAGAGGAATTGTATCCATTGAAGATTTGAGAGTATTAACTATGTAGAGAGTCCCCTCTAGTCTCGTAAAGGGCTATATTGTGGTTGCTGCTAATGTAAAATATTTTATTTCCTGATTAATCACATTTAATCTTACCCAGCACACAATGCATTTCATTTTAATAAGCCTTAAAACATATTTTCAGCATTGGAATTAATCTGGGTCCAGGAAAAAAAAAGAATCATTTTATATAACTGAAAGTATTATTAGGTTGAATAATATCCAGTGCTCTTTGGAAGCTTAATATAGAACACAAAGTGACAATATAAATTGAGAAACGTGAGATGTTTAGGAAAGTCACCAGCAGTGTCCTTTATGCAACTAAAAACACAGCATAATTACAAGGCAATCAATGTTTTCTGGGCCCAGGAGAGGCTAGAAAAGACTGGCCATCGTAGCTGACTATTATATATATGTGCATGTTTATGGCATATGCGTATTTGCGTACATGTGTAGAACTGTGTCTCTGTAGCCATGTCGTCAGTACTACTTGATCTCAAATATAGCCAGAGACATACAGTTATGCATAAAGGCAATGTTGCTTCATAGAAATTTAAAAATTTCTTTTCCCTCTTTATGTTATTTAGCTTAGGGAAACAAAATACTGGAGACAGTTATAGCAGAATACTTTCAGTTGCCTATCAAATTCCATTTCTCTTAAATTGGTTTTGAAGTTATCTTCAGTTTTCTTTGACTTAATGATCACTAATGGACAGGTTATTTCAATAACAAAAAGATTCTTATTTGTTCTGTTTTACTTATACTTCTATGAAAATTAGAAAAAAAAAATCTATAGTCTAAATGAAATAATTACCCATAAAATAAAGTGTTAAATTCTGTATTAAACATGACTTTTTAAGGACTCTGTCTTGATATAGCTGGAAGAAAAATAGGGGAATATTTTTATTTTTTATGAAAATGCAACCATAGAAATTATTTGAAACAAACTGCATTTTAAAAGGATGCCTGGATTGGAGGTGAGATGTGAAATTGAAATTCATCCTCTGTGGTCAAGATGCCTTATTTTGGATCTGCTTTGCCTTATGCTGGCTGTGAGAGCTTGTATAAGCTACTTATCTACCCTCATGTCTGTAGATAACCAAAGTTCTAACAGTCCTTCCTCACTAGACTGTGGGAAGTAACTCAGTAAAACAGATAATGAGTAGTGTGATATCCTAAACATACACTAAATCTTAGAGTTGCTTTGTAAAAACACTACTTTGTTATAAAGGAGTCTCGAAAAACAAAACAGAACAAAAACAAACAAAAGGAGTCTCCAGATATCAAAGTAACTCTGTTTCTTCCACTGAAGTCCTCGAGGTTTAGAGGTTTGTTGAAGGGTTAGTGTTCTCCTTACCCACTGACCTGGTTCGCTTCTGCCCTGCAAGCCCTGCCAAAGATGAGTCATCTGCTGGTGCCTCTTGCTATGCTTTGGAATCCCTGTCACCTGGTGTGGCAAGTCTTCTCTTAGATGGACCAACGCAAGAGCGAAACCATTCTGGCTTTTTGTCATTTTTAAAGTGAAATAGTCACTTGTGCTGTGTTCTAAATGGAGCTCTAGCCACAAACCTTTAACACAATGGTTATATTTAAGGCATTTCTTCTTAGTGGTGGGAAACTGCTTTCTTTTACGTTTATCATTCACTTCTTAGTCTGCTCCTTTTAAGTCTTTGTTGTTAGGATCATGAGTTAGCATCCAGCCTTCATTATGTCACATACCTGAGCTAAAATAATTATTTAAATTACTGCCGCAACTGGGATGTGGCTAAGGGGCGGAGAGTTTGTGTAGTATTTCAAAGCCAGAGAAAAAAGAATAAGTTAAAAGCAACTCTGATGAATCCTCAGGTTTTGATGGGATTTTTTTTTAATTGATTTTAGGAATTTGGGGGTTGATGAATTTTTTTGTCAGTTTTTTTTTTGTTTGTTTGTATTCTTACGAGTTGCTTTGGTTTCTTCTTAATTTTTTTTATTCCCTTTTGCTTGAGTTTCCTCTCTCTCCTGTCCTCTCTCTTTTTGAACATTTGTGATTCTTCAAATTCCAAAATTATCTTAACCTTTAATTTTCTTTTTACAGTGAGTTTATTGTGTATAACCATCATCAGTCACAATCTACATAGAAGACAGTACTGAATCATTATTTTTCACAGGGTTATAAAGGCATTTGGAAATAATATTGAATAGTATTTTGATCACTGGAAAATGATGGAGTTGGGCTTTAAATATTTAAGGCTTTTTGATTTGGTGTTTTGAACAGTACAATCTAAATATACATGAGGTGCTAAAATTTTATCAGTTAAGTCAGTTGGCATTTTGGTTTTGAATAAGTCAACTTTGCTACTATGGTGTTAATATCAACCCATGAAAACTAGCATACTTCCAAATATTAATCATCATCTTCTCCCCAAACCTGTAATTTTAATGTTTGGAGAATGTGGTAAGTCAAGTTTTGTTGTGGTCAAAGGCAAATTTTTCCTTTGGCTCTTGGAATCTTTTATGGGTTGCACAGTTACAATTGAGCAAATGTTCCGTTATAATTAACCCACTCTGAATGTGTGCCTATATGGATGACATCATCTTCTCTTGTACTGGTGTGCTACATGCACTTCTTGACATGTTCTGAATTGTGTTTAATTTTTTGTCAGGAAACATGAAGAATTGTTTAGCTACCTTGCAAATTGAAGGAAACAATGCTAATTTGTTGCAAGAGAGCAATAATCTTTATGAGCCAAGCTTATATCTTACAAAGGGATGAGGGTGCACTTTGGGAGTTGTGGTAGCGCAGAGATTAAGACGTAAGAATCAGTTATTTTCTTATGCATACTTGTTTGAGGAAAGCAGACTCAAAACAATGCTTTGAGACCTTTAGGGTAAGTAGGTATGTTCTAGAAAACAGCAGAGGTAAGCAGTTAGTGTCTGGAACTCTTCCTCAGTGTTTTACGTATATTTGATCTTTATAGCCACAGGTGTGAGGTGCACATCCTTATTTAAGAGCTTTCATTGCATAAAGTTATATAGTTATCAAGCACTTAGGTTTTAAACTCAGGTGTTCCAAGGTATAATAAAACATGTATTTTAAAAGAGTTGTAACATCCAACACAAACTTTGTGTATTTAATCCTACATATGATATTGACCTTAAATAACTCTTAATTACAAAATACTGTTATTTATTACTAAAAATTAAAAACAAACATATTCAAAAAGGCACAAAGAAGAAAGTAGAAATCTTTTTTTTTCATACACCATCATCACCACTTTTTGTTTTATTAAACCTTTGTCCTTATTTGACAATGGTGAGACCAGAGGACTTCCTGGACTACTTATTGCAAACATTTAGTTGTTCTGTGCTTTTATATATAATGCTGGTAGTGAAAATGAACATTGTAGATAAATCCTTAATTCCCATTTTGCTATTTCTTTTGTATGTGTGTGTGTTTGCATACACATGCTTGTGTATACATATATATTTATGAGAGTGTTCAAGCATGTGTGTGAACGTGAGGCCAGAGAACCATGTAGGATCTTGTTTCTCCATGCTGTCTATCTTATTTTTGAGAAGTGTCTCTTTCTAGAGGTTGCTGATTTTAGGCAAAACTGGCTAGCCTGCAAGCCCCAGGGATCCACCTGTCTCCTCCCCGTTAGCACTGGAATTATAACTGTGTGCTCCACACCCAGCTTTGTGCTTTGTTTTTTTCTTGAGAATGAGTAATTAAAAAAGGATTTGCTGCCTTAGAAGTACGTTTTGTTTTTAAGTAAAGGATTTTGATATGTATTGTCAAATTGCTATTCCACTGTTAACAGAACCATATTCTTTTTACTTGACAATTACTCTTATGAACTATAATATATAAATAGCTAAGTTAAGCTGCTATAACTTACCCTGCCTTTCAACAGAGTTATTCAGTTGCAGCAACCAAGACAAGCTATAGGAATTCACAGATAGTCATAATAGGTACTATCATTGTATACTTAAAAGGTAATTCCTCATTTGAAGCTAGGAATGAGATCGATAATACAGACTTTAAACTCATATTCTTTCAGGTTAGGGAAGCCCAATGAATCTCCAGTTTCACTGGGATTCACCTGTGACATAATGACACAAGAAGAAATAAATGTGATGTGGGATGCCCCTCTCTATGCTGTGAATATATTTTATTACCATTGGTTAATGAAGAAGCTGCTTTGGTCTGTGGCAGGGCAGAATATAGTTAGGTGGGAAATCCAGATATAGATACATGTAGAAAGAAGGTGGTTGAGGAGATGCCCTCCAGCCGCTCAAGGAACAACATGACAGAGCACCACTGGTAATCCATGGTGGCAATACACAGATTAATAGAAATGGGTTTAGTTGTAAGAGCTAGTTAATAATAAGCCTGAGCTGATAGGCCAAATGGTTTGTAATTAATATTAAGCCTTAGAGTAGTTATTTTAAAAACTACTGCCACTTAATTGCACATGGCTTCGGGGAGGGGCTAGCATATACAGGCTGAGGAAATGCTAGGAGAGGGGCTTATCCACGCAGCTATAGGGAAGTCCTCATCCCTGCTGAGTAAAGGATTTCCAGGTGTGGCCTGTTGGGGGAGGAGCAGCCACACTCCTCTAAATCACCCCTCACCTATGCTCTGTAAAGAAGCCCAATAAACTCATTGGTTTCCCAGAATGAACTTTGATGGGATTGTGTCATTGGCACCTTAGGAAAAAGGGAATGATGTTTATGTTTCCCATTGGGAAAGAATTTAGGAACAATTTGTAATTGTTAAATATAATAATGGTTTATGTTAGAGTTCTTTCCTGCAGTACATTCTGTGGATGCAAAGTGACAGGTGTCTGTCACTTTAGTAGCCCACAAAGCAATTAATTCTACTATGGTACAAGTCTCTGCCTGTTCCTACTCCCTCTATCCTCTGGTGACCACTGATCTTTTAAAATATATATACTTCTATTCTTATTTGAAAGACAGAAATCATAGATATCCGAGGAATCGTGTGACATTTAGTGCATGTCCATGTGTGGGTTGTGTACTGATCAGATGACCACTGATCTTGTTACTGTCTCTGTAATTTCATATTTCAGAATGTGTTTTGTTGAAATACAGCCTTTTAGAATTGCTTCTTTCAAAAAAAAAAAAAAAAGACTGGCAAACCACGTGGGAAGAAAAGCTTCCAGCCACATAAATGATGTGGTAAACACAATACTGGACACATAAAAATAACTATCCCTTAATCTCTGGAAGTGAAATGAGAATATCTACTGCATACACTTCACATGTGACATTAGCCTTGATGAGTGAAACTAAATTTTGCCCACTGTGAATTCTGAAATTCTTCTTCAGAGAGGATTGTAAACCTGCTGATGCCTTGAGAGAACTCAGCTGAGCTATTCTGTGCTGGGAATTTTGATTCACAAAAATGATGATAAATAGTTGTTCTTTATTACCACACTGGCAGGATAGTATCCCGACCACAAAGAGAGGATAGAGCCAAATTTTCCTGTACTGAGATGAAAGACCCACAAGTATGCTTCATATGTAACATTGTAAAGTACTTCAACTGAGAAATTGAGAAGTATAGTAAAAATGTTAATATGGCAGGTTAGTCACTGATTTTGTAGTTTATCTCTGCCCATGTTAGTACCACCCATAGGGTGTTTTAAAGTATTTCATTATTGTCTAATTTTTTTCTGCATAGGACATAAAATGTGTATCTAATTTTTCAGTTTATGTGGGCATGCCCTTTTGTTATTAATAATCCTAAACATTATTTCTTTTTCTTCGATAATATTTGACCATTGGGCACTAATAAATATTTAAAATTTGTGGGTAATTTATATTCACTCTTTTTATGCTATTATAATATTCCTTGCACTGAAAAATTTCAGATAGTAAAAGTATAAAGAAATTTTCTGGTAATAATTGTGTTATACTTAGACTCACACTTGAGTTACATTTTTTATTTTTATTCCATAATTAAGAAGTGTTTTCCTACAATATATTTTGGTCATTTTCTCCTCCCCAGCTCCCAGGTCCTTCCACATTTCCACCCACCGAACTCTATGTTCTTTCTCTCCCTCTCTTTTAAAACAAAACCAAAAATATTTCCAAAAGCAATCAAAAACCTACAGAAACTAATATCAAAGCAAACAAAATACCAATAAAACAAAAAGTCAAAACAAAGCAAAAAAACAAAAAGTAAACACACAGTAACAACAATAAAAACAAACCAACAACAACAATAAACTTTGAGTTGCTTTTGTGGCCTGCCCTGGAGAATGATTGATGTCCCTGTGACACTCCATTAGAGAAAACTGATTTCTTTTCCCTGAGTGACATTTACAAAAGCTGGATCGTGGAGGTGGCACCAGGTTCATCAGCACAGTCCACCTTGCACTGACACCTGATCACTTAACGTTTGCCTTAAAAGTGGTTGAGGTCTAATGAGATATTTAAATTATTCAGTAGCAGTTGATAAGGTACAGAGCAGTAGACAGTAATTTAATTTATATTTTTTGTAACAAGTTTCAAATTACTTTAATTAAGCAATAATAGAAAAATAGTGTAAGTCTGACGAACACAGTAATCACCCACTTATATTTCAACAGATACTCCACATATGCCAGACACCACCTCAGAGCTCTTTTGGGGATTACAGGTGTTACAGTAGGGATATACCTGATGTGGTGCCGGGAAGATGGTTCAGTGGAAAAGTGCTGATACACAAGCATGAGGACCAGAGTTCAGATTTTCAACAAACAGCTGGGTGGAGAGGCACATGCCCTATTGATGTAAAATAGAAAATTAGCTTTCTTTAGAGGAAGTGATATTTATACAGATTAATGGAAAATGTTTACCTGTAAAGTAGATTATGACAAGCTTTAAATCATGAAAGTTGAGTTTGACAAAGCACAAAAGGAGAATAATGTTTCAAAGAAGTTAGTTTTGAATGTTTTTGTTGGTGACTTTCTTTCAGGAAATCTTAAGTTCTTGGCTATGGATGATTTTAGGAAATTTCATTAAATGTCTAACTTCCTAAGGTAGATTTAATATCTAATTTTCTATGATAGATTATTTATATAAAATATTCTGCAACAAAGATCCACCTCTAACCAAGAAGCTATTTGCAGTTGGTACCTGATAGCAAAGGGAAAATTAGTTTTTTCCAATGGAGTGTCATGGGATCTATCAGTACACTCAGGTCAGACCCCATGTTCAGGAGTAGTTGGCCAACAAAATGGACTCCATGGTTTTATTTGTTTGTTTTGTTCTATTTTTGTTTGTTTGTTTTGTATGTGTGTATATGTGTGTTTTGGTGGTCTTTATCTTACTCATATTGTTTACTTATTTGTTTTGGTCTTTGTTTTATATTCTTTTGAGAGAGAGAACATGAAGTTGGGTAGATGGGGAGGTAATGATCTATGAGGGGTTGGGGAGGAGAAACAGTATGATCACAATATATTGTATTAAAAAGTTTTAAAAGTTAAAGTAATTTAAATATTTGGCTATCATTTATAACATTAAGAAACATTCAAATAATATATTAAAACTTTATATCTTAGTATTAAGAATTTCTTAATTTTTAAAACATTTTTAAGAATGAACATAACTTTTGTTACAGTATTTTTCCCTAAAGAAATGAAACATATCATATATATGCTTATACATATATATTTTAAATATACATCAGTACACAATATGGCAATGAGAAACATTAAAATATATATTTAGAATAATGAATGTATACTATATATAAATGACATATGTATATATGAGACAGGGTCTTGCTGTATATTCCAGGCTGGCCTCTAACTCCTCCTCCTCCTCTCTAGCACCTGAAGTACTAGGCTAAGGGTATGTGCTAGCACGCCCAGCCTACTTGTGAAATTTTAAAGGTGTACTTTAAAAAGTAAGTTATAACAAACTCATCATTTCTTCTTATTCAGAGGCCAATGTAAAGTTCCACATGTTTTCCAAAGAATTTATTAGCACATTAATAAAGTAATTTAAAAATTCTCAAATTGTCATTTACTGTGTTAATGTTCTGTGTTTCTTTCTTTTCTTTTTTCTCGTCTAGTGAAGAGATACGGTCCAGAGCTATGCACGGATCACTGTAGTTGGCGATTGTGAGCATTCAATAATGAGTGGAGCAGCTTTAGGACTGGAGATTGTTTTTGTCTTCTTTCTGGCACTGTTCCTCCTTCATCGATATGGAGACTTTAAGAAACAGCACAGGCTTGTAATCGTTGGAACACTGCTCGCTTGGTATCTCTGCTTTCTTATTGTCTTCATACTGCCGCTGGATGTTAGTACGGTAAGAGGGAAATTGAGATACAAAAGTCAGTTGTAATCGTACAATTTGAAATATGCTTTGAATAGTGCTTTATTAAAATGATAAAACTATGTCAGGCTATCTTTATATTATGAATTTTGATGCTGTTTAGGAATTTAGGTATTAAATAGTACAGCCAGGAAAATAGGTAGGTAGATTTATGAAATATCCTTTAAGTACTTTGTGAATTCTTGGTTCTCATTGTAAAACTATGTATTCATTGCTTTAGACAATATATAACCGATGCAGACATGCTGCTGCAAATTCCAGCCCTCCTGAAAATAGCAATGTTACGGGAGTGTATGCAGCTGTCACCCCAGCTCCAAGGTATTCTTTCCTTCTACTTTCCTGTTTAATATAAATATTGTGGTTGATAGTTTTACCACCTCTATTTTGTATTTATAAAGTTTCCCTTATTCCATATTGTTCCTCTACTTTCATCCTTGCTAGTGTGTTTAGTATATTGCGTGGTATTTAAATACACTTTTCAAGTCTATATCACTATACAATGTGGTACTGAGAAACTTAAAGAAGACACAAGTTTTAGTATGTTTTCACCCCTTACTAAAATCTGAAACCTCTTCTTCATCTCAGTCTGTCTTATATTTAAAAATTTAAACATTCCTAAGTTTCAGCACCATAAATAAATTTATAAAGGAGAAGCACTTTCCATTTCATCTAATTTACAAGAGTTAATACAAGTAGAATTTGGCATGGTGGTGCAAGCCTGTAACCCCAGCACATCAAGAGTTCAAGGCCAGCCTCACCTACGCAGTTCAAGACTAGCCTAGACTACATGAGGCCTTGTTTTTAAAACCTGCAAACAGAAACAAGCTAAAACAAGGTTGTGTGAATAAAGGAGATTTCTTTCATATTACGCATTCTTAAGAAACATTATAGGCCTAGATGGTTGACTCAGCAGTTAAGAATACTTCCTGTTATTGCAGAGGACCCAAATTCAATTCCTAACACCTATGATGGGCAGTTCACAACTGACCAAACCTCTGACCTCTGTAGGTACACACACACACACACACAAACACAGAAACTTATATACATAATGAAAATAATGTATAAAAGAAACATAATCTCACATGAAGTATTTCGGTGTGTTTATTTGTGCAGCTTTTAAAAGAAAATATAGGACCTAGTGAGATAGCTTAGTCAATACAGTACTTGACTCACAATTATAAGGACCTGAGTTTGGTCCCAAGAATCCACATAAAAATGTTGTGCACTTGTAATCCCATTGTTGGACTCACTGAACAAGAACCAGCATCGCCAGATTGATGAGCTCCACACCAATTAGAACCCCTGTCTCAAAGGAGTGGGCTAGTGCTCCTGAGGATGATGCCCAAGGTTGTTCTCTGACCTTCTTGCACACATGCACTTTCACACATGTGAACCTGCACATACACCTGCAAGAACATCTACCTGAGTAAAGTTAAAATGTAATTTAAACTTTAATTCCCATGCAAAACTAGTTGTAAATAAGTAATAGTTTGAGGAGTTAGAAGTCCCTGAATTAAAAAGATAGCCTCGTTGTCAAGAAAACTCTTTTAAGTGAAAGAATTTATGGTGAGAGATTCTTAATCAGAAAAGATGGATAGAACTGTGTATAGATGTGGGTGCTTATCTAGGCAGAACTGATAGTGTGTCTAATTTAATTAGTATTGTATCCAGGAATTAACCACCTAAATTTCTGTTATATTGAATTCCTATCAAATTCCTATTTCAACCTTCATTACTATATAACAATAAAGGGCAAATATAGCCAGCCTTACAAATAGAATGAGTATATTTTAAGTGTAATCATTGAGTATTTGATTCTATACGTCTGTTTTCTAAAGATTTCTACGCGGGGCTGGAGAGATAGCTCAGAGGTTATGAGCATGGCCTGCTCTACCAAAGGTCCTGAGTTCAATTCCCAGCAACCACATGGTGGCTCACAACCATCTGGAATGGGGTCTGGTGCCCTCTTCTGTCCTGCAGGGATATATACACAGACAGAATATTGTATACATAATAAATAAATATTTAAAAAATAAAAGATTTCTACGCTACCAGTCAGTTAATTAAATAGTAGGGCTTCTTTTCTCTAAATAACTAAAAATACACTGAAAATTGGAAACTTAAATGATACTCCTTTTTAGAGTAAACAGTTTTGTTCTGACAGCTTTGTTTTTAAATTTTCTGAGATATTAGGATCTGATCAGTAATTATTAATTTGATACAAATGAACTTTGCTACTCACAATTTTGTATAAACTTTCTTTTAAGAAATAATTATTTGTGATTAACTGACTTTAAATTGTTATAACAGGCAACATCCATGTTTCAAGCCATGGAGTTACATTCCAGATGGAATCATGCCAATTTTCTGGAGGGTAGTTTATTGGACATCACAGTTTTTAACGTGGTGAGTAGAAGTGAAGGATGCATTTGTGGGTAAAGTGATTAATTTTTAGTGAACCTTAATATTTTGAAGTGTGTATGTATACTCACACATATGTCCCAGTTTTTCTGACTCATTTCTCCTATCTTTAAAAAAAAGAAGAAAGTAAAGAGAAAAAAGGAGACAAAAATAGAAAACAGAAATGAAATTTTTTCTTGTGACTCCTCCCTTCCATGTCACTTCTCGTTTGGCCTTTAGTCCAGTCCTCTTTTATCTCTGTTATTACATAAAAGTGCTTTCACTAAGGTCACTACCTTCCCTTGGTTTCCTTTCTTACATATGTTTTTGATTGAAGTAGAATTATATAACTTCCTCTCTCCCTTTCTTCCCTCTAGCCTATCCCAAATACCCCCTCACACCCATCCCACACCTCCACCCGTAACTTTCAAGTTGATAGCCTCTATTTCTTTGATTATTACTGTTACATGCTACCTGATAAATCAGTTTTTGTTTGTGTGTATATGGTTATAGGACTTTGCACTCTGCATTGGACAACCAATAAGAGGACTCCTCCCTGGTAGAGGCTAATTGTCCCTCTCCCAGCAGTCATTAGTTGTCTGTAGTTCTGGTCTAGAGCATTGGTTCTCAATCTATAGGTCATGACTCTTGGGGATTGAACAACCCTTTCACAGATGTCACCTAAGACTGTCAGAAAACACAGATATTTACATTATGATTCATAATGGCAAAATTACAGTTTGAAGTAGTAATGAAAATAGTTTTGTGTTTGGGCGACACCACATGAGGAACTGTGAAAGCGTCATAGCATTAGGAAGGTTGAGGACAACTGGTCTAGAGGTAGCACTGCTCACCATTTTCCTCTTTCCATAGAAATATGTTGATAAATATTGCCATTGTTCTGGTTTTATTTATGCAGCTATTTCTAGGAGAGACTGTTTCACCACAGATTTCCTGGTATTCTGTCCCTTAAAAATCTTTCCTCTTCCACAGTGACCCCGAGGCATAGATGCAAGAGCTGTGGTATAGACTGGGTTGGGTCTGGGCTCCCCACTGTCATGATCTGCATTGTGTTCTCTTGTGTTTCTCTGTTATGGTCTCAATTTGCTGGGAAAAAAAGCTTCTTTGATGAAGTAGTAGCTACACCAATATGTGGGTGTAAGGATAAGATTTATAATATAGTAAGGAATTATGCTGGTCTAGCTAAGTGGCTGTACTAGATTGTTCTCTAATGTACATGTCCTCACTACCCTTAGGCAGCAGGGTAGGTTTTCAGTACCAGGCATGATTTCCTTCCTGTTGAGTGATCCTTGACTCCAATTAGACAGATGTTGGTTACCACCAACAAATATGAGTGCTATTTCCTACACCATCACAGATACCTTGCCATGCTGGTTATTATTCTGGTTCATAGATGTTGCAGTTGGATAGGACTATTTAATTGCTTCCCTCTTTTGGCAGCTTGCATAGTTTACTCAAGGAGGCTAGATTGAACAAAAAAAAGCTTTCATGTTAGATCCAACTCAAATAATCCAATCTTGTGTCCTAAATGTGCAATGACTTTAGCAATAGGGGCCTCTAGCCCTGCCTACTCATTCACACATTCTCCTTTCCTTCCTGGGTGTTTCCCTTACTTCTGTGACCCAGTTCCTGAATGCTGGTCTTCCCTTGAGCCTTGTTTTTAGTCATCTTGCCTGCCTGTTCCCACATAGCATCAATTACAGCTATGGTGTTATAGGCCATTCACAATATGCCTGACCATGTTCTTCTCTAGACATTCCTTATTCTGTAAACTCCCATGAGTAGGCCAGTTGCTTCTGTGAGAGACTCTAACCTCTTACTCCACCCCCCACCCCAGCTTGTCTCTTCAATAGGATTCCCTGGGCTCAGCCTAGTGCTTGTCTGTGGTCTCTGCATTGTCCGTCAGTTACTGGATGAAGGCTCTCTGATGACAATTGGGGTAGTTACCAATTTGATTACAGGAGATGGCCAATTTAGGCTATGTATTTACTATGGGTAGGATTCTTTTTTTTTTTTTTTTTTTTTAGTTTTTTGAGACAGAGTTTCTCTGTGGTTTTGGAGCCTGTCCTGGAACTAGCTCTGTAGACCAGGCTGGTCTCGAACTCACAGAGATCCGCCTGCCTCTGCCTCCCGAGTGCTGGGATTAAAGGCGTGCACCACCACCGCCCGGCTGACGGCTAGGATTCTTAACTGGGCTCATCCTTGTAGATTTGTGGCAGTTTCCCTTGCACCAGGTTTCTGTCTGACCCTAAAATGTGTCCCCTTTTGAGTCGTTTCTTTCAGTACTCTCTTCTTTTACTCTCCACCCCAAAACTGATCCCTCACATACCCATCCCCACCTGCCTCCAATCCATCCACAAAATCTCTTGTTTCCTCTTCCAGGGAGATCTGGGGGGCCCTCTTTGTTACCTAGCCTTTCTGGGGCTGTGAATTGTAGCATGGTTATTCTTTACACCTAAAATCCAATTATGAGTGAGTGAGTATATACCATGTTTGTCTTTCTGAGTCTGGGTTACATCATTCAGTGCGGCACGCCACTCCCGCCAGCAGAAGAGACGACCGCAACAGGATTCTTCTCAGAACACACTTTATTGGAGCACTTACACTTGAGGTTGTAGAGAGGCAAAAGACCCCGTCCCCGTGAAGCAGAAGAATATATACGGTGCCAGACAAAGCCCTGACGTGTCATCAACCCAATGGCTCAGGCCAGAATGGAGTGATCGTGCTAAATTATGATTGGCCAGATCAGATGGCCAGATTGAAAGACTCCGTGCTGGGGGGGAGCTCGCGCACAAGTTGTCTGTCAAGTTTGACGTGGAACAGCAAATGGCGCCCAGGCTCCTTGCCCACTTCATGACAGCGCCATGGCGGCGCTACATCTCCGCGCGCTACAATTCAGGATGATTTTTTTTTCAAGTTCCATCCATTTGTCTGAGAATTTCATGACGGCATTGTTTTTAAAAGTTGAGTAATACTTCTGTGTATAAACACCACATTTTCTTTATCTATTCCTTGAGAGATGTCCAGTTTCTGGCTATTATGAATAATCCTGCTGTGAACATAGTCGAGCAAGTATCCTTGTGTTATGATTGAACTTCCTTTGGGTTTATTCCCAAGAGTGGTATAGCTGGGTCTTGCGATAGGTTGATTCCCATATTTCTGAGAAACTACCATATAGATTTCCAAAGCAGCTGTACAAATTTATACTCCCACCAGAAGTAGGGGAATGTTCCCCTTGTTCCACATATTCTATAGCATGAGCTGTCACTTGTGTGTTTCTTGGCCATTCTGGCGGTGTAAAAAGTAATCTCAGAGTTGTTTTGATTTGCATTTCCCTGATGGCTAAGGATGTTGAACATTTCTTTAAGTGTATATTGACCATTTCAAGCTCTCTTATTGAGAATTTTCTGTTTTGATCTGTATCCCATTTTTAAATTAGATTGTTTGGTTTTTTGATGCCTAGTTTCTTGAGTTCTTTATATATTTTGGACATCAGCCCTCTCTCAGATGTGGGATTGCTGAAGATCTTTTCCCATTTTGTAGGCTGCCGTTTTTCCTACTGATGGTGCCCTTTGCCTTACAGAAGCTCTTCAGTTTCATGAGGTCGCATTTATTAATTGTTGATCTTTGTGTCTGTGCTACTGGTCTTCTATTTAGAAAGTTTTCTCCTGTGCCAATGAGTTCAAGGCTATTTCCCACTTTCTCTTCTGTCAGGTTCAGTGTAACTGGATTTGTGTTGAGGTCTTTGATCCACTTGTACTCGAATTTTGTGCAGGGTGATAGATATGGATCTATTTGCATTCTTGTACATGTCAATATCCAGTTTGCCAACACCATTTGTTAAAGATGTTCTCTTTTTTCCATTCTATAATTTTGGCTTCTTTGTCAAAAGTCAAGTGTTCATAGGTGTGTAGATTTATGTTAAGGTCTTTGATTTCATTCCATTTATCCACCTGTCTTTTTTTATGCCCTGTGTTGTAGAGATCCTGCAGTCCTAGGTCTGTTGTAGGAGGCCACTTGTTTGTTTCCTTGCCACCCAGACTCCTGAAATAACCACACAGAAGCTGTATTAATTAAATCATTGTTTGGCCTATTAGCTCTAACTTTTTACATCTTAATTTAACCCATTTTCATTAATCTGTGTATCGCCATGTGGTTGTGGCCTACTGGCAAGGTTCTGCATCTGTCTCTGGCAGCAGCTCCATGGCTCTACCTCCTTCCTCCCAGCATTCAATTTAGTTTTCCCCACCTACCTAAGTTCTGCCCTGCTCTGCTATAGGCTCAAAGCAGTTTCTTTATTAACCAATGGTATTCACAGCATACAGAGGGGAATCCCACATCATAGGTCCACAGGAATGATGACCACCCCCACCCCCCAGGCCCCAGCAGATCTCCACCCCATATGAAATCCTGTGCTTTCTTTTTAAGTTTCTTCATTCTTTGGATGTAGTCCAAAGTTGTTCTGTAGAAATGATGTTGTTATTTATGTCTTTGTTTTTGAAACAGGGTCTGACTATGTAACCCAAGTTGTTCTTAAATCACCAGTCTTCCTGCTTCAGTCTTCCAAGTGCTAAGAGTACAGTTATGTACCACAACTCTGGCCTCTTCATGAGGGCTCAAAGGCCTAATCTTAGGCCTTTTAGATAATCTGAAATCTATGAATAATCATGTTATTCTGCTCTGCATGCCATTGTAGCCTTTTTAGGACCTTTGTTTTTCCCAAAATTTAATATTATATAAATAATTATCATGGTTCATTCAATATTAATATGTAACTACTCATAATAAAATTATTAGGGATAAGAGTGATACATTGAGATTCTTGTATTTGGGGTATTTTCAGATTATACAGATACATAATTGAGTTTTTAATCATGTATTTTCCATCTGACTAGGATTCTGCTACCTTTTATGCAGTCATATGCAAGATCTGGAGGCTTTTCCATTACTGGAAAGATAAAAACAGCCCTGATTGAGAATGCAATCTATTATGGCACTTACTTGCTGATATTTGGAGCATTTCTAATTTATGTGGCTGTAAACCCACGTTTGCATTTAGAATGGTAAGAAAAGTAGTCTTTTTAACACTGTTCTGTGTATGTTCGTACTGTTTACAGTGAACTTCTTTGCTACATATAAGTAAATAGACACACATGCCAGATTATATGTCTTACAGATACTCCTCAAGGAGTATCTGAATAATGCATATTACTAAGAAACAAAATGCAGAATGGCATGCTTAAGTATAACTAGTAGATGGTAGATTAATGTTTTGACAAATAACCATATGGTAAAGAACAGTTCTATTTTTAATAGAATTTTAAAAAATAAATTTTCCCTCTACAGAAACTTACTTTTCTTTTTTCTGTTTGCCTTGTTGTAGTTTGACAGAATAGTTTTCCTCAATGTTATTTGAAGTTAATATATTTCAATAAAATCCATTTTGTGAATGTGATTTCTAATTGTGTATATATCTCCAAATTTATATATAGAAGAGTAGAGATAGGTCTCATAACACAAGTTAATTTAGCTATTTACAGGGTTTCTTACCTTAGGAAGTGTTGCGGGAGCTCCTTCCGCTCCTTCAGCAATAGCTGTTCGGTGATCTGTAAGTTTTTTCCCCCTTAAATAAATAACCATTCTATTAATCATAATTCCAAACTGGTGTGGGATTGTTTGTGATTTATGCCTTCAAGGAAGCACTTAGTGAAAAAAGTTTTCTCTGGAGGAAATGTGTGTCTGTGTTTGTGTGTGTGCTCACACATGAGTGCATGTATATGTGCACTATGAATTATCCTATATTCTAATTTTGACTACAACTGAAGCAGTGTTTTCCATATTAAAGTCTATTTTTACAGTCACTCTGTCTTTACATTAAAATACCTGGATTATCTGCTGTGACTTAAAAGAGTTGAAAATTTCTTCATACAAAATCCTACTTATCCTTTTGGACAGTTTTCTGAAAAAAAAAATATATATATATATATCTCAGACATGTGCTTATATTTTTTATTTTTTAGGAACCAACTTCAGACTATAGGGATAGCTGCTGCCAACACATGGGGTCTGTTTCTTCTTGTGTTGTTATTGGGGTATGGCTTGGTGGAGATTCCTCGGTCATACTGGAATGGAGCCAAAAGGGGTTATCTACTCATGAAGACTTACTTTAAGGCAGCCAAACTGATGACAGAGAAAGCAGATGCAGAAGAGAACCTGGAGGATGTAATGGAGGTAAGCAAATTTAATCCTCTAAAAGCAGTTCTGATTTAACACTCTGTCTCTGTCGACTGTTCTCTTGACGAGAAATGGTGCCATGTATATCTTTTATTCATCGATAGTACTTAATTTGAAAAGTTCTTCAACATTTCTAGGTTGTGCTGATCCTTTGTGAGTTTTATTAACTTGTCAGGGATTTAAAAAAATAATGCATGCAAGTAGGCTTCAAGTATGGTTCAAATTCATTTTCAGGTGTCAACTTTATTTAATTCTCACAACGTTACAAAATAGATTTTCTTTTTAATCCCATTTTATAAATGAAGAAAATGAAGTCCTGAAAGTTGGAATAACTTATTATGTACACACAACTAATAAGGGAGGCAGGAGATATAACTTTAGTTCACACTTTAACAGCAACCATGACCCTTTTTAAAATAGGAAGAGCCAGATGGTCTCTCCTGTGATTGCTTGGTCACTGTGGTCTGAAAGCAACTGTAGACTCTATGTAAATGAATGAGGGCAAGCTTGTGTCTCAGACTGAGAACAGGTGGGAGACTACTGGATTTGCTTTAGTTTGAAGAGCCCTGATTCTCAACTATTATCCTTTTCTCTAATGCTAAATAATTTGTGTTGAAGTTAAAAAATCTGAGACTTAATAGTATTTAGGGCTACTATCATTTAAAAATAGAAATCTAAATATTTTTATTTTTCTCACTGTTTTTTAGGAGGTTCGTAAAGTAAATGAAAGCATTAAGTACAACCACCCATTGAGAAAATGTGTTGATACAATACTTAAAAAGGTAATCATTATATATATTCCCTCAATTTCTTGTGCATATATCTTATATACTACTATAAATTAATATTTCTCATAGAAAAATATGATAAAAAGCATATGATTGAAGTTTTCCAGATGGACTTTATATAAATCTTTACCATAAACACAGCCAATTATATGTAGAGTTTTTCTTATACTATCGTAAGTTTGATGGTAATTGACAGCATTTTCCCTTGAAGTGTGAAGATAGCAGTAATGTTGCAACCAGCTTCTCACATGTAATTTTATGATAATTGCTATGAAATAAATTACATGGATATTTAATAGATAGGCCATATTGCTATGATTTTGATGGAGGCGTATTGAATTGCGAGTATATTTGTATGCTTCTGAAATAATTATTTGAAAAGTTCCACAATTACCTTTATGTGCCCAAGTTACCACTGAATTTTTTCTTTTCCTGTATTCTAAATATTTCTATGGTTATTATTAGCTTCTGTTCCTTTAGCTACAGTCATAGTCATAAGAATAAATTTTCTAACCATTTCTCTCATTTGTTATTTTATTTAAGGATTTACTTATTATATATACAATGTTTCGCCTGCAGATGTCATTACAGATGGCTGTGAGCCACCATAAGGTTGCTGGGAATTGAACTCAGGACCTCTGCATACTGTGGCTTCTCAGAGATTTAGCATGTTAAATTTTTTATGATTCTTCTTTATTATTTGGGAAAATAATTAAAGTTTCATCAAGTGCCTGCTGTTAGAATAATCTTCTCAATAGTAGTTACTTCATAGAGGTATGTTTCCCTTGCCTTCTCAGTCTCCAGGGAGTAGTATATCTAAGCATAAAGATAAATATTAGAAGTGAAAAGAAACTCAACATTCCTTTGAAATATTTCTTTTGAAAATATTACCTAGTGAAAGATCTTAACAATTAGAGATGTCAATAAAAGAAGAAAATATTTATGAGAAAATTAAAAATTTCCAGAATGAGAGATTTTTAATAAAAATAAAGTTTTTATTAAGCTCTATTAAATTTTTATTAAAGATGTATTAAGATTTTATAAAATGATTTTCTTTTAGTGCCCTACAGATTATCAGGAAAAGATGGGTAGAAATATGGATGATTATGAAGATTTTGATGAAAAACGTAATACCTACCCAAGTGAAAAAAGTTTGGTAAAATTGCATAAACAGGTAACCTTAATTATTAATTGTAGCTATTTTACATACAATTAGAGAATTAGATTTATAATTATTGCTAGGTTGAAAGGCTCTGTGCATGTTGGCTTGGCAGCTAAACTGCTTGCAACTCAAGTTTGAGAAACTGAACTTAGTCTCCAATACCTATATAAAAAGCCAGGCATAGTGGTGTGTACCTATTCTTAGTGCTTGGGAGGCAGAGCTAAGCAGAGCTAAGCAGGTAGGTTAGCCTAATCTGCGAGAGCCAGGTTCAGTGAGAGACCCTGTGTCAAAAACTAAGGTAGAGAAATGATTGGGCAAGACACTTGATATTGGCTTCTGCCTCCCTCATGCCCAAAATTATACATGCAAGCACCCCCGACCCCAAATGTGTGTGTATGCAAATGAAATATATATCCCAAACTATTGATCTTATTATTGTTGAAATGTTTTAACTTTGTGTTTCTGGACAAGGGTACTATTGGCAGTTGGATATAAGAGTTATACCTGTTCTATTATGAGCAAGTATTGTGTCATTTCAAAATGTTAACATCCTTGGCCACATTTGGAAAATGCCATTAGTACTACCTTATGAAGATAGACAAAAACCTCCCATTCTCCAGCAAAAAGTTGACCTACTGTTCAGTTATACTGACAGGCTTGTCCCTCTTCTGTTTTAAGGTCATTTATTCAGTTCAAAGGCACCGTCGAACTCAAGTGCAATGGCAAATTCTTTTGGAACAGGCATTCTATCTAGAAGATGTAGCAAAAAATGAAACTAGTGCAACTCATCAATTTGTTCACACCTTTCAGTCACCCGAGCCAGAAAATCGATTTATCCAATATTTTTATAATCCTACAGTTGGTATGTAATTTGACATAAATTCCAAAGTTAATAATTTTTCTACAAGGAAAATGTATGTTTCATTAATTTAATACTGACTTTTCTTTGTATATTAATTTGCTCCATGGGTTAATATTAGGTATCTGATAATCTTATAATTATTTTACTCCTAATTCTCCTTTTTCCATAAGACATTGGTTGCTTGAATGGGTTCTTTGTCTAAGGGTGGGATCCTATGGCACTTTCCCTCTTCTGAATTAACACGTCTATTGATGTTACCATTGTTCCAGTTTTGTTGCTACAGTCATTTATAGGAGAGACTGTTTCATCATAGACTTCCTGGTATTCTGGGTTTTACAGTCTTTCTGTTTCCTCTCCCATGATGTTCCTGAGCCATAGATATAGGAGCTGTGGTATATTAAAAAAATAGATTTATAGATAAATATTTGATTACAAAATAGGTTATAATTACATATAATTTATGGAAGCTGTTGGAAGTATCTGTTCTCACTAACAATGAATCTCAGTATAAATGTGTATTATGGCTTGGACAATTGATAATATAAAACTTTATTAATTAGCTATACTTTGAAAACTGAGCCTTCTGAATATAAGCAGAAATTTCTACAAATTCACCAATGGTATTTAAAACATTGTCTCTATATTTGGTAGCATTCCTCTCAAAGCAATGATTATTTTAAAAATGTTTTTGAAATTTCAAATATATTTATGCCTATGATTTTAAATACATATACAAAATACAATTAAAAATAAATTTGTGTACATGACCAAATATGCTTAGAGAGCAAAAATAAATAAATACATACATACTAAAAACTTGAAATGTAGCTTATAATTGAGGAATAATATCACAAAGAGGAAAATTACTGAAACCATGCAGAACTCTGGAGCAATATTCATAGATAATGGAGATGCGATAGGAAATGTGAACAGTAAACAGAATAGCCTTGCTTGCATTAGGAGGTGAGACAGACAGACAGACAGACAGCTTTAGTGTAAGTGAGAAAATGCAGTGGTAAAAATGCTAGCGATCAATGGTTAAGAAAGACCACTGGAATGAGCAGTCAGGGTAAAGAGGAGTATTAAAAGCTGAGCTCTTCAGAGGAGAGGACTGAAGGCAATGAAAAAGAATCATCTGTGCAGATGCTTAGTCAGCAGTTACGCTGAGAGTGCAGTGGAAGACAGTGAGCCTGGACTCTGTATTTTATAACATCGATGTTGATGGACGGAATAGGCTAGTTCTGTACTGGTTGTCCCCAAATTGGAGTTTGCCGTGTCCTCCTGATTAGATACAGCTCGTGTGTCTCAAAGGTGAGGTCCTGCTCTCCTCAGTGCATCAGAGCAGGAAGCACATGGGCTGTCAGCTTGTACACTGCTGTTGATCGTGTCTCCTTCCTCAGTGTGGAGTTGCTACCATTCCCTGTGCTGTCTGAAGACTATAAATATTCTTTACTGACTTAGTTTTCCTAATTGTGGTTTTTTTTTTTTTTTTTTTTTTGTATTTTCCAGAATGGTACTGGGAATGCCTGTTGCGTCCATGGTTTCACAGGATCCTTGCTGTGGTTTTGTCCATCTTCTCAGTGATTGTTGTGTGGTCAGAGTGCACCTTCTTTAGCACGACTCCTGTCTTATCTCTCTTTGCAGTCTTCATACAGCTGGCAGAAAAAACATACAATTATATTTATATTGAGGTCAGTTTTTTCATATCGGCCATAAATACAACAGTTCATGCAGAAACTCTAACTGTCGTATCTTTTCCTATGTTTCTTCTAGTAAAAATGAAAGTGGTGGAGTTTCCCACTGTGCTGTTATTCAGACTTCCAAAACTGATGTTCATCAATTTACCCAGATTATAAATACTAGGAACTGTAGTTGAAGATCAATGAAAAAGTATAGGATAGTAATAAAGCATTTTATGAGGTTACTTTGATCCTCTTTTGTCAGTGAAACTACACATAGCTTACTATATTCCTGTAGAGCTGTCAAGAGAATAGGTAAAACAGTTTCCTTCAGGGATCAGAGTCAAATTTTGGATTTAGGAGGTTGAACTGGTTGAAATGTAGATTTATTTTCAAAATGTCATCTTTGCTATTAAAAAAGACACTATTATTGTATTTATATTTATATTTTAGGACATCAGTAAATATAGCTGGGGCAAATGATAATTTTTGTGGCAGTAAGTAAAATAATAAAGTCTTAAATCAGTCTTAACTATTTTTTCCAGATTGCTTGCTTCCTTTCCATCTTCTTCCTAAGTATCTGTGTTTACTCTACGGTGTTCAGGATTCGAGTATTTAATTACTACTACTTGGCTTCACATCATCAGACTGATGCCTACAGCCTTCTTTTCAGCGGCATGTAAGTAGAATTGCGCTTAGAATAAAGAAATGTTTTCATTTTAAATGCTAATGATAGATCTTTTATTTCTTGTTCATGAATGTTGCATGAACATACATTTCTGTGAACTAATTGTTTTTTTTTCTTTTTTTTTTTTTGACTATGAAATGGGTATTTGTGATCACTAACTAAATCCTGTTTGAAGTTTATGGCTAAATTATGAGCGCTATGTTAGGAAAAAAGACATAGCCTGAATTTACCAATTTGAAACTTAGTATATGAACAATTGAAAGTTTAGAGGCTATGTTAGATGTAAACAATGTTCTGAAAGTCAGTGGCCTAAAACTGAATTGAATTTCTAAGGACACTAAGAGAAACATTTCTTTCCTAGAGAAATTTAGAGGTCTGGCTTTAGCTACAGGCAATCTATCTAGCCAATTATTAGTCAGAAATATAGGATATTTTTAAGACTCAAAGTAATGTCATTGTCAAAATTTTCTTTTTTTAAAAGATGTATTTATTCTATGTACAGCATTCTGCCTGCATGTGTGCCTGCAGGCCAGAAGAGGGCAGCACATCTCATTACAGATGGTTGTGAGCCATCATGTGGTTGTCAGGAATTGAACTCAGGACTCTTCACCACTGAGCCATCTCTCCAGCCCCCCTAATGTCAAAATTTTGTCTTACAAAAAAAAAAAAAAAAAAGAAAAGAAAGAAAAAAAAAAACAATGAAAGCCACTGGGTTAGTTTCTTGTGGCTGTTAAAAAATACTTGATACAAACAACTTAGGGGAAGAAATATTTATTATGTCTAATTGTTTCAGAGACTTTAGTCTACCGTCACTTGTTATTGATTGTTTTGGACCTGAAGTGAGGCTACAAATGGCAAAGAGAGTGTATTGGAGCAGTGCTATCCAGCTCATGGGACTTAGGAAGCAAAGACAGACTAATAGGACCCCAAACATGATATCTTTCCATTCATAACACCAGGCAACCTGCTTCTTCTAGGTAGGCCCTACCTCATGTTACACCACCCCATAAAATAGAGCCACACAGTGAAGATAAACCCTTCAACAAATGAGCCTATGGCATTTGTTTCATATTTAAGCTATGGCATGAGTTTTTAGAAAGTTACAGATACGCTGTGTAACCTTACTCAAGCTTTTCATCATGATGACATTGTAGTTGCTGTACAATACCAAACTAGGAAATTTACATTGCATATTACTGTTAGCAGCACTGTAGACTTTAATTAGTTCTTACATTTCATCCTTCATTTATGTGTAGAGTCCTACAGTGATCACCACTTAAACAGATCTTTCTCTCACTACAGAAGAACTCTTGTCAATATTACCTCCTTATATTTGAACCTTTCCATTCTCCCAGCCCCAAGTTCTAGCAATGTAAGATACTCATTTTATACTTGATCTTAGCCAGAATGCTGAAAGGAGGCACTCTGAGGCTGCAGTTAAGTATATAGGCATTTGTGTTCTTAAAGGAAATGTGATGAATAGGATTTCAGAATGTGTCCCCAGTAAGGGCAGTTTACATAGATAATTAAACTATATATAATATGCAAATAGATAAAAATTATAATTAGAATGATCTGAAATGTTTTTAATACATTTCACTATAATGTAAAATGTGTTTTGTTTTATTTAAAATATATATATAAATAAAATATATATTTATTGTAGGTTATTTTGCCGTTTGACTCCCCCTTTATGTCTTAACTTCTTGGGATTGACACACATGGATTCATCCATCTCTCACCAGAATACCCAGCCAACTGCATATACATCTGTAAGTATGACTCTTTAGGTTCATTATCTGTATCAGGTGTTGTTATGAGTCATCTTCTGTTGTCAGTAGACAGGCTCAGTAGCATTATGAAACTCCTTTTATCACTAAAACCTTTGCCTAAAGGTTATGATTGTGATTACTAATGATGGGGTTAAAGTGATTTTCCTTTTAGAATTATAAAAAATTTTCCTTCATATAGATTACTTAGATGTGCTGCATTAAAACCTGCCTCATAGTAGCATTAGCATTTATATGCATGTTCTTAATGCCCATGGTTTTGTAGTAGTTGTAAAATATTAGACTTCTTTAAAAGAAAGCCTTAACAGGAAAAAGTTTAAAAAATGCATTCTTTGTTTCTAAATTTTGAGGTCTAGTTTGTTGATATATTTTCCTGTGGGTAAATTATCTAATGATGGAAAGGGATGAAAATACGGAACTATGCTGACTTAACTCTTCTCTTGCTCTTCAGATCATGGGTTCCATGAAAGTTTTATCCTTTATTGCAGATGGATTCTATATATATTATCCTATGTTGGTGGTAATTCTCTGCATTGCTACGTATTTTAGGTAGGAAATTTAACATTTCTTTTTGTCATGCTTTTAGTTGGATATGGATATCCCTTCCCCTAAAACACCGTTGAATATTTACTGGCTTGGTTTTAGTTATTTGTATTTGGGAAGGTTATGCGAACTAGGGTAGTTTGAAGGCCTCTTTTGAGTGTTTGAGTCATTCTGTTACAGTTATGTAGGCTACAGAGTGATAAGATTAATTGCAGGGTGCTAATTCTAAAGTCCTGGACTGTGATACTGACAACCAGCATGGTATATAATACCCCTTTACATCTAGCTTCTTTATAGTAACACAATTTAATCTTTGGACTTTTTCCATATAATTGTTGCTGGGTTTCTAAATCCTGCAGATGATAGCCAACACAAAGGGTCAGGTGAGGAGTACTTATAATCAGGTCATATGTATAAAGTTGAAAGAGAAATACTTCTCTATGCCTAGAAGGTGCATGGGCTACTCTTCTTGTGGACTCAGAGAAAATTATAGAATCTTAGTAAAGGTAAGATTCAAAAAGGTTAAAGCTATTACAGTAATTAATTCATATGAGCCACAGTTACCCATACAAGACTCATACAAGATCAAGCCAGCAATAGTTCCTACAGAGATGGGAATCGATCTCCAGGCCCCACCCTTCCTGAGTATCCTTTGGCAGTTGATAAGTGCTCTGGCAGGGAGACATTCTTCTTTGAGGCTGAGGTAGGTTTCCCATGCTCCAGTGGCTAGCCCTACATCCATGCATATATGGGAAGCACTCATTGGGCTTAGTGGATTATTGTTTTAGAAAAAGATATAAAGTTAGGTGGGGAGGTATTAGGAAGAATGGAGACAGTTAAGAGGGGTAAAGTCGGGATTATAAATAATCATATTCATTGTGTACATATACAAAATTCTCAATAAAAAAGAGTTAATGGAAAGGTATGCTTGCCTAGCACCTTTTCTCTCTACTTTCTCATATGTTATTCCCCACCTTTATACTTCTGCCCCTGCTTACTGCTTCCATGTCCCAAGATATGTCCAAATTTATAAAAACACTTCATTAGTATAGATATAGATTAATTTTCTTTTCTAATGAAAGTGTTATTAATTTACTTAAATCCTATGTTGCTAGTACATACATATTAAAAATAACATATTAACATACTAATAATAGGTTAATAAGTAATCATGTTTAAATTCTCTACCAAGTTAAAAATTTTTACTTTTTGATAAACAAAATAACTAAAAGATTATAATTGAAAATATGACTTAGCTGAGCATCGTGGCATGTCTACAATTCTAAGGTTTTGTAGGCTAAGACAGGAGGATCTCAAGTTCAAAATCAGCATGGACTACAGCAACATCCTGTTTTGCCTTTAGGGTAGAAAAAAACAATAGCAGATTTTATATCTTTAATGCTATTTTGATTATATGTTTACTTATTTAAAAGTTTTATAAAAGTATTAATGGAACATCATGAGTTTAAGTACTTCTTTTCCTGTTAATTGTCATATTGGGAATGTTAGCATTTTGAGATGAAATGACTTTGTGACTCAAAATAATATAAATAAGGATAATGCTTTGTCAAATACAAAATTTTAATATAAGAAATCAGAAAGAAGATTGTTGAAAAATAATCATTATGGGGCTGGAAATGTAGCTCAGTGATGTGTTGCCTAGAATGCCCAGCACCCTAGGTTTATTCCCCAGTAGCATTCACACACACACACACACACACGAAAAGGTTTCTCTCTAAATTAGGAATGGTGGTGTGCGTTGTTAGCGAGCAGCAGGAAGACCCTGCCTTTTGAGAGCAGCCTGAACTGCATGTTGAACTTAACATGATAATGTGAGTTTGTCTCAAAGAAAACAGGAACTTTACTCAAAGCCATGCATGCATTCTTCTTACATGTGTTCTGAGTTAGCCAGATACTTACACATTTCTTAGTATAAATCAGCGATTTTCACTTTATCAGCTGTTTTGCTTTCTTCACACACGCATTTCTCCAGTCCCTCAGATGTGTTTTTATACATATAAAAATAAATATTTATTTCTGAGGGCTATGTAAGGATTAAATATGAGTGAATTGTCTGATCCACAGTAGGATTTTAGCAGTATTAATTTTGCCTGTCCATCTCTTGCTTCCTCCCTTGTGTACCATGCTTTTAAAGTGTTCTTATCCTGTATGATAAAATGACAAATATCATTTCAAGTAATTAGCCTCTAGGTAAGATAGAATGATCATTTACAGTATATAATAGAAACTTTAATTCTTGAGGGAAAACAAAGCATAACATTAAAGTTTGCATAACTGAGGTTTTCCTAAGCCAAGCAGAGTGTCTTAAGCTTGTAATCACAGCACTTGAGAGACTGGGCTTGAGGCCTGCCTATTCCAAATAGTGAGTTCTAGGACATCCAGAACTTCAGAGTGGCACCGTGTCTCAGAAACCAAAAGATTTTCTAAACAAGAAATCTTTGTATGTAGAGATACTGATTTTTATCTGTACTTTTTGGTATTATAACTTTTATTTGAATATTTTAAGAAGAACAAGTTGATTTTATTATATTCATTGCTTAGCATTCTGGTATAATTATTTTCTAAAGATGTGCTGATAATTTGGTTAGTTTACTTCTGTATAAATATAAAAAGTCTACTGAGTAAAATATGCAACATAAAATTTGTATTGTTTTGTTTTTAGATAAAGTTTTACTATAGTCTCAGCTGGCTTTAAATTCATGACAGTCATTCTGCCTCAGTCCACCAAATATTGCGATTATAGACATGAAACTTCACACAAGGGTGGATATAGCATTTTTTAAAAAAAGAGAAAGAAGGACCGTGTAAAGAATAACTAACTGCATTATTATGCAGTTTGCCCTGATAACTAATAATCATGGTTTCTATATGGGTGACAATGATAAAGAACAATTTATCAAAATATTTATGAGGTGAAATAATACTGTTTTGAAATCTGCTTCCATTAGTTTGGGAACCCGTTGTTTGAATCTGCTTGGTTTCCAGCAGTTCATGGGAGATAATGATATGACATCAGATCTAGTTGATGAAGGAAAAGAATTAATCAGACGAGGTAAGATTTGTCATTTAAAAAAAAATAAAGGGGCAGATTTAAAGTGCTAAGATTCAAATGCAAAATTAATGTTTGTAAAATTTGAGTGTAATTTTTATCTACTTTAAGAAACACAGCATACTTTTTTCCTAATACTTGGTGGCCTCATCCAGCCTTAATATGAGGGGATGTACCTAGTCTTGTAATAACTTAATATGCCATGTTTGGTTGATATCCCTTGGAGGTCTGCCCTTTTTTGAAGAGAAAGGAAGAGGGGTAGATCTGTGGGAGTGGGAGGTTGGGGGAGGGGTGGCGTGGAGAGGAGAGAGAGGAAACTGCAGTTAGGATGTAATATATAAGAGACGAATAAAAAAAAATACATACATAAACCTTTTTTAATTAAAAAAGAAATATAGTGGCTTAACCTAAAATATATATATACATGTTTTTTCCCAGAAAGATATTTGAAAATATAATGTAAGATTTATTGTGAAGGAATTCTGCAGTGTAAATTATTAGTTTATCTGCAACTAGATAATAACCACTTATGATCTTGGAGTTACAAAATATCTCGTTTAGTTTGCAGGGAGGAAAGACAGTTTATTTTAATTCCCAGTTTTAGTGATTTCAATCTGTGGTCACTTGCCCTTCAACCAGTGTAATATATCATGGAAGAGAATGAGCCAGTTTACAACAGAGAAGCAATGAGAGACATAGGAAGGAGCTGTGGTCCCAGTAGTCTCTTCAGTCTCTGCTAGTGACTTAACTTCCTTCCATTAGATCCTCTCTTTGAAGGCTCTGTCATCTACCAACAGAAGCACAGCCTGGTGATCAAGACTTTAGGGAATATCCAGGATCCAAACCATAGTAGAGTTGTTGTGTCTTTGTCCTGAAACATATTTGCCAAGTTCTGTATAACTATGAGGCTCATTAATTTAGTTATTAGTTTGCTGCTATGTGGGAAATTATTCAAACTGGTTTTTCCCCTCTTAGAATATAATGATCATTGGTATGTGAATGTGAGTACTATTAAAATACCTAGAGCTTTTCTAAAACCCACTCACAAAGTTGAATGTATTAAGTTTTCTTTTATTCAAGAGATGGTAAGATAGGTGGAAAACCTTAATTTGGGGACATTGTTTAATAGTCTCCAGAATCTTGCTTTCACATGCATTCCTAGGAAGGTAGTGTCTATTTGATGTGATATTTGTGTTTGGCATAGCACTCCCTTCCTAGTACTGATAAGACTGGTAAGTTGGGAGACACTGAGAGAACAACTGATAAAATCACCACTCTGTAGACTATCCTAAGGGGCATAGAGCCCCAAGCACTGTATGTATAACCTGAAGACCTTTTATGAGAACAGAATTATACAGAAAACATAAAGTTAGTGTAGAAGAAAAGTTCAGTATGAGAATAGAAGCTACAGAAAAACAAATTTCAGATCATCCTGAGGAAGGAGAGCTAACGGTAGACAGACTACAAAGCCATCTCTTGCAAAACCAGGAAACATCAGCTCTGTCATGAGGGAACTCTCAGGCCCTCTTTAACAGTAAGTAACCTGTTGCTTTTACTTTGTAGTAAGTTGTGGGTATCATAGTCTGTTCTCCTTGCTTCGGTTACTCTGTATCTAAGTAAACAGTATTTAAATTTGAGGCCATTTTTCTTATCTTTAGAGAAAAGAAAAAGACAAAGGCAAGAGGAAGGTGAAAATCGAAGAAGAGTAAGTACAATATTTTATTAAATTGCTGTTAACTGAAATGTCTAGGAAACACCATAAGAATCTTCTTTGGAGCAAATGATTAAAGATGAGAAACAATAAGCAAATGGCAAAAGATTTTTTTCCCTTTACTGTGTATGAATGTTTTGCCTGAGTGCATGTCTTTGTACCATATGCATACCTGGTGCCCAGAGTGCATAAAATGGCATTTGTCACCTAGAACTGGAATTACAGATGGCTAAGAATTGAATCCTAGTCACTTGGAAGAGCAATGAGTACTCTTAACTAGTAAGCCATCTCACCATCCCTGGATGTATTTTTAAAGAAGGAAAATTTTAATACTTTTATATACACACATTATCCTGTCAGATTTGTTCTTTTAAAAAGTCATTAGAGGTAACTTAATTTGAGTCTAACATCCATCACTTTGTTGCATACAATCACTGTTTATTCAATTAATGAATTCATGAAGCCTTGATAATAAAGAAGATTGGGTTGCTTTACAATTAATATGCTTTTTAAAATGTGGCATTTATATTTTCCTCTTTAATTCCTTGTAAGTCCTCCATTTGCTGAAGCAAATCTTTTTGAGAGGGTGTAAAAAAGAAGAAAATCTATTCATAATTTCTACAGTATTTTGACACTAATGTATTACCCTGGAAAGTAGCTAAGAGAAGATGTCATAATTGTCTTTGTATATTCTAGTATATACCATGTCAAAAGCGATTGTATATTGGGCATAGTGGTACATGCCTTTATCCCAGCACAGAGGCAGACAGAGGCAGCTCTCTGTCTACATAGCACTAGGGCATAATGAGAACCTGTCTCAAAATAAATAAATACTTTAAAAAGATAGATTTGTTATTTATTTCATAATTAGAACCAAATAGTACACATTATTGGAAATAGAGTTCACCTTCTATTAGGACAATGGTTCTCAACATGTGGGTCACGGCCCCTGAAGATTAACAACTCTTTCATGGGCGTCACCTATCAGATATTTACATTACTGTTGAAATATGAAGCGGCGGGGCTGCGTCCCCAACACCCCAGCCGCTTGGCTAGCTCACACCCGAAATAACAACACACAAACTGTATTCATTTAAAGAACTGCTTGGCCCATGAACTCTAGCCCTTACAGGCTAATTCTCGCACCTGGACTAGCCCATTTCTAATAATGTGTGTAAGCACCCCAAGGTGCGCTTACCGGGAAGATTCTAGCCTACATCCATCTTCAGTTGCAGCTGCCTGGGAGAGCAGAGCATGGCGGCTGTCCGGTCTCTCCGGGAGCAGAGCAGAGTCTGACCTCACTTCCTCTTCCACCCAGAATCCTATTCTGTTTACTCCTCCCATCTATGTTCCAAGCCATGAGGCCAAGCAGCTGGTTTATTATAACTTAACCAATGAAATCAACAGATTGATATATGACACTCCCACATCACATTACAATTCATAACAGTAGCAAACACAATTATAAAGTAGCAATGGAAATCATTTTATGGTTAGGGTCAACACAACATGAGTAACTGTATAAAGGGTCCCAGCATTAGGAAGGCTGAGAACCCTTGAGTTGGGATTTCTAACTTTCAGTTTACCAATTTGTAATAGACTGACTACATATACATAAAATATAATGTATCCAGAGGGCCAAAAATGTCTGCTTGTACAAAACAGTGGATAGGTGGCTTTCAAATGACCATTCCGATTAAATAAGTATAATCTATAGAATTTTATTTAGTGAGATCATGCTATCTTTCATGATAACTCCTGTCTATATGAGTCAGTTTTATTATACTTGTATACAGCCTTAATTTGTTATCAAAAATGACTTACCAGATCTCTAGTATTTGTAGCTTCTCAAGTAAAAGTATATTACAGCATAACTTTTACATGATCAAGGTAAGCTTGCTATTGTTGTAATATTTTTGATGTTTTAGATTAATGTGCTAATATAATCATAAATGTTTTGTTTAAATTAAAAGTTATAAAAATTGATTCTAAAGATATCATTAAAATTATGTTGATTTCTGATGAAAAATTGTAATACTCTGCATATATAATGTTGACAGTGTAACTTTTTGTTATCTATTTGATGGGTTTCTTCTCTAGGAATGGAAAGAACGTTATGGACACAACAGAGAAGATTCCACTAGGAACAGAAATGTTCATCCTGACCCCAAAGAATCGAATTTCTCAGATACTGCTACCAATTGGTGTAAGTAGCTTATTTTATAGTGTGCTTAGGGATTTTTTTTTAATGTTTGTGTTATATAGAAACTAAAACTGTACCCATCTCTGCATTCACAAATATGTCTACAGTGACTTCTCTTTATCATAGTCCTTAGTGTGTTTAAGAAAGGGGAAATGGGACATCAAATAAGTAGTTGTAAGTATATGAATCTAAATAACCAAATTATTTCCAAGGCATGTTCTAGGGAGGTACTTATTTCTACCATTTATCTTATTGTTTTTCTTTGCCTTTCTTCTGATTGATGTAAGTTATTCATTTATTATTTTTTTAGGTATTGGCTGACTCATATTCAAATGCTTTCCCATATATACAATGAGAGAAAAGTTTTTTTGTTTTTTTTGGGGGGGGGGGTTGTTTCTAGAATGTTCATAATTTAGGGAAGGACTAAAGTTAGGTTTAAGTTCTCTACCATTGTGTGTGTCAAGAAACCTCTGTGTGTCACTAACACAAGGAAGAAACAAGTCCTCTGCCCTTGGGAAGATGCCAGGAACTCTGTTTTTGCACAGGACTTCACACTATGTAGGAGACAAAGTTTTGTCTTTGGTGAAGATGAAATATTGCTGAAGGAGCAACATTGTCAAGAATTGAGATGTGTTTGAGAATGAGCTGAAGCAGGAAATCTGAGCATCCTTTCCCACCCAGCTGCTCAATTACACAGCAAGAATATGCTGTTAGAGGAAGACTAGAAACACAGATATCCTTCTAATGGTCTGAGAGTGGACAACAAGTACCGAGAACATCCATTTGTACTTGAGTGCCATCTAAATTCAAAGAAAATCTGAAACGTGTAGACTTAAGAGAACTAAGGAAGAGTCTAAATTCACAATAAATACACATTAGATAATTCCATCCCTCAACACCAATGACCCAATTAAAAGAGATGTGCCCCATTCTGAGCATAACTGTTACTTAACTTCTATAGTCTTTTAAATGAAATGTCTGACCTTTAACAAAAAGTTCTGAGTTATATAAGAAAGTAAAATATGAACCATCTTCAAAATATGAAAAAGCAAACATACTAGGCCTAAAAAAGTAACTAAAGTTTTAGAATTATCAGCCAGTTCATTGATGAAAATAACAAATTAGTATGTTAAAAGATATAGTGAGTAGTTTGGTTAATGTGCATAAAGAGATAAAGGGATTTTTACCAGACAGCTGGAAATTATATAAAAAAGCTAATTGGAACTACTAGAGATATTTTGATAGCAGACTCCAATGATGTTGCAGACATATCATGAGAGTTGTTACCAAAGACTATACACCTGATGCTAAAGGAAATACCTGGGGGGAGTAAAAAAGGATTCTGTCTTAGGGATGGATTTTTATACTAATTATTTCTGTAATAAAAAGTTGAGCTCAGTATTTAGAAATGAATGATAGTTACCAGGAAGAAGGGGGTTTTCATTAGCAAAAGAGTAAGACAGTAGTGTAAGAGAATGTTTAGGATGATGTATTTTTCTCATGACTAGAGTTTAAGCATGAGAAGGCTCATAAGAGGCTTTCCAGACAGTTTAGAAACAGATACTGTCAGCTCCAAAGTGTGGATTTCATATTGTAGGTAAGATTTTCAACTTGGAAAGAAGGATGACCATTTTTTAACTTTTATTTTTTATTATTTTAATTATTCATGCAATATATTTTGATCACATTCTTACCACTTTCTATTTCCCCTAAGATCTTTAAGAATTGAAGTGATTATGTCTCAAATTTCAAGCCAAAATAAATGAAGTTTCAATTTGAAACCAAATAAAGTATGATTTAATGATGAACAACTCTTCATGGTGGTAATGTTGGTTGAGGCTGCTTGTTGGTTCCTGGCCACCCAGCCCTGAAATAATCACACAGAAACTGTATTTATTAAATCACTGCTTGGCCCATTATCTCTACTTTAAGAGCTATTGGCTAACTCTTTCATATTAATTTAACCCATTTTTATTAATCTGTGTATCGCCACGAGACTAGGTTACTGGGTAAAGTTCTCAGAGTCTGTCTATGGCGGAGACTCCATGGCTTCTCTCTGACTCTGCCTCCTTTCTCCCAGCATTCAGCTTAGTTTTTTCCACCTAGCTCTGTTCCCCTATAGCTCTACTATAGGCCCAAAGCCTATAGTAACCAATTATTATTATTGGTTAACCTTTATTAACCAATGGTAATCACAGCATACAGAGGGAAATCCCATATCAGTGGTGATACTATAATTAATGTGAATTCTAATTTTTAGATTCTAAATCTTCACACTACCTACTATGAACTTATAAAATACAAATGAAATTCCACTACACTAGCTAGATTGCTTAAGAAACTGTCTTCATTATTTTGTATTATACTGTTATATTTGAATCTGATTTTCTAAGAACCAAGCAACTTAAGTTTCTTGTTTTTATAACCAGCTTTTAGATGCAGCCTTGATTTTTTTCTATGATCCATAAGTAAAAGATAATAGAGAAGTAGCCATTGTTTTCTTCTTTTAAACAGCATCCAAGTACACCAGGGCTAATAACAGGACTGAAAGAGACCGAATAGAACTTCTCCAGGATGCAGAACCTTTGGATTTTAATGCAGAGACATTCACTGATGATTCTCTGGAACCTGAGTCAGGAAGGTAAGTTCTGGTTGGGTCACTTGACTCTAGTGTGCCTCTGAAATTTTAATGATGCATTGAGATTGAAAGGGCTGGAGAGACCGCTCAGCGGTTAAGAGCACTGCCTGCTCTTCCAAAGGTCCTGAGTTCGATTCCCAGCAACTGCATGGTGGCTCACAACCATCTGTAAGGAGATCTGACGCTCTCTTGAGGAAGAGACCTGGTCAGTTGTTCTCAACTTAAACTATGAAACTCAAAATGGACAAGTTCAACAGAACCGCCATACACTGGCTGCCCATGCATGCTTAAGCATTGCCAGGCATAAATTTCAGTTTCATTGAAATTGAAAATAAAGATGATTAAGCGTGAGGAAAATACTGGGCTTGGTGGGAGTATTCTTACCTGGTATGCACAAGGCCCCAATTAGATGTATAGCAAGAGAAAAAGAAATTCCCTTTTCACTATTAATTCAAAAACTTGAAGTAGCATTTAATCCCCTTTTTTGTTTTGTTTTGTTTTGCTTTCTGAGAACAAGTTTCATCCAGCCCAGGTTGCCTTCTAGCTTGCTGTGTGGCCAAAGATGATTTTGATCTGATCCCCTTGTTTTCACCTCCTTTTACAAGAATTCACCACCTCACTCAGTTTATCTATTACTGGGGAGTTAATCCCAAAGAGTTGTGTATGCTAGGCCAGCATCTACCAACTAAGCTATATACTTAGCACTTGATACCTGTTTATACCCTCTAGTTTATATTTTTAAAAATTATGACATTCTGCCAAGTGTGATGACATTTCCTGTAATCTTAGCATTTGAACAACTAAGACATGAGGAGCAAAATGAGTTTCAGGCCACATTAGAACACATAGTAAATTTCATGCCACAATCAGAAATACAGTGAGCTCTGCTGAAGAAAAACAAAGACCAAACAAAAAAATTATATCATTCTATAGTTCTTACTGAAATAGATATCTTTATGTAATAGCAGTAACATTAGAAATAAGAAAGAATTGAGACAAAGAACAAAGAATCTTGATTTTATTTATATCTCTATTTAACAGTCCCATTTATGGAATTCATTATCTTTAGCCATATCTGTAGAGCTAATGTGTTTTGATGTCAGACCTAATATAAACATTTTAACAAAATTGTCTTTTACTGCAAAAATTCTTACTGGATTAATGTTCTCAAAGGCTCAATTTTCCTAGAGTCACAGTTTATAAGTAAGAAATCAGGTATTTTAACTCCAGGACTTTGACTACAAAGCCTATGTATTCAGTTGTTTTGCTATGAAAAATAGTAAAACAAAAAGCATAAAAATAGAACTGCTATATGACCCAACTCTGCCATTGCCTATATGCGCGGAAGGCTTAAATGGGCATACCAAACACACTTCACATCTGTATCCATTGTGAATTATTAGTAGTAGCTAAGACATGGAGCCAGCCTAAATGTCCACCAACATGAAAAGTTAAAGAAAGATGATCCATATATACAACGAGATTTTATTCAGCCACAAGGAAAAGTGTAAACATGACTTTGCAAGAAAATATTTGTAACTAAAAATCACATTAAATGAAATAAGCCAGATATAAAAGGAAATAAAGGTAAGAAGGGGACTGTGAGAGAAAAGGAAAAGATCTTAAGTGGTTTGGCCACATGTGAAAGCTGAAGGGAAGACTGCTTGTGGAGAGGAAGGGGACCAGGAAGCAGGGAACAACAGGGTCGGGAATAACCGAGGAAGGGAATGAGTATGAGTAAAACATGGTTGTGTGTCTGTGTGCACACGTGCCATAAGGAAACCCATTACTTTGTGTGATAACTTTAAAAATAAAGACATAAAAATATCTCACATGCTAAAAGTGCTTGGTATATTAGTGCCTATAAATAGTGAAAGCCTTGGAATACTCTATATTTAACAATTAATGTGTTTATTTATGCAGTCTCCTAAATGTGTCTTACTTCCCTCACTTTGTTTATGTCCTTCACTCTATGATATATATTCTATACATAGAAAATCACTCTATGATATATATTCTATATATATAAAATCAGGCTTCAAAGCAGTTGCTGGCTGATTTACATTTACATCCTTTTGGATTATAATTTTGGGAGATAGGATCTACTTTTAGTGATTGAATGAATTTTACAGTTACTATAAATTTTATGATCACTTTTAGTGTTTTCTCACATTTCTCTTATTTTTTGATATTTTATATCATTTTTGTATGTTTACTTTTAGGTATCAACCTGGTGGACGATATCTCTCCATGTCTTCCAGCATAATATTTGAAGATATCTAAAGTTCGAAGAAATTCATGGCTCAAGTAACCAAGGTCATCGCATCAGCCCAGCCTTTATGAACATGATTGTGCCCTACAATTCCTCTATCCTGTCTGTGAATAGTAAGGATAACAAAAATGGCACTGACAACAGATCACATCTTAAGAACACTAGGTTATTTGTTGGCTAGAGTGTCATCCTTTCTGATAGGACTTATTGCTTACCGTCTGAAGTGTCTGCCTCACAAGTGAGTTAAGTGGAAGGGTTTAATTCATGATAAACAGAACACAGCTGGTTTCAAGTTGATTTTTTTCCAGGAGAGTTCTTTTAAAGTCCAAGGAAGCCAGAATTTTATAAATGTAATTTAATTTGTTCAACCTACATTTCCCAAAGAAGTGAAAGTGAACCGAGACCTCAGCTAATTACTGTATTTACAAAACCCATGTCTTAAGATAAGGCTTTCTTATTACACACAACTGAATGTAAACAACTCTACTTCCGATCTGTATACAAATTAGTGGAATTTTGCATGTAAAATTAGGATTATTCTTCAGTTGATGGTGTTAGTGTCTTTAGCATGTGTATTCTAACTGGGTGATGTGGTATTCTTTTCATTCTTTGTGGTAACTGGATCTTTTTATGGTTTTGATATTATTGCTTTGTAAAAGATTTTTATTTCAGAGAAAAATATTCACCTTTAGCATTTAGCATAATGACTTGACACTGACCATTCCAGCCAAAAAAAATCATAAATATTAATGGTGAATTATTTATTTCCAAAGAGATCCCCAAATGATACCTGTTAATACTTTTTAAAAAGAAAATGTTTGGCTATTCTGGCTATTCAGAGGTAAAAAGAAAAATAATCTATTTGTAATTATTGCTAACACTAAAATTATAGCTTAGGAAAATCAGAAAAATGTATTAGAATAGAAATATGTCATAATAATTTCCTTGCTAAACATGGTTATTATTTTAAATTGGTTGTTTCAACCTTTGCATTTAAGCCAAAGTTGGGTATTATGTTTTAAAGAGCCAGTGTTTTATTGTAACGTGAACATGGTTGAGTGCATCATGTTTGCAGGTATTGTTTTATGGTCCTGAAATATTTGTCTCTTACAGAATCCATTCTATGTGAATAACCAGACTTGAACTTTTCCAGACAGTCTTGCACCTGTTTTCCTTGCAATTGTTCCTAGTGTTCAAGTGTTATATTGCCATGTGTTCAGAATGTAGTTCTATGTAGGTACTGAAAGGGAGGGCATATCATCCTCATTATTTTTCTTTTTTAATGGTTGCATTTTTGATAACCTTTCAAATAGATCCCCCTTTAAACAATTATCAGTAGATAGATTTATTCTGAATTGAAGGTTGCATCGCCTGCTTAATTCAAGGACACATAATGCATATAACCTTTTACTGTGTAGTGAGGCCAGAGGGCAGCTGACCAGATAATGTAATGCTATTCATAATTTTATGATTGGTTCCTGGAATACCTTGGGCAGATCATGGAACCTTTCGGTGCCTCAATTTCTTCATTTTCAGAATGAAGGACATTTGCTACTTACCTACTGATCTACCTCACGAAACTGTTGTGAGGGGGTTAGGTTGATGATTGTGTGCTGGGGTTTCTCCTGGGCTATTTTGTTTGTTTGTACTTTTCTTTGAGTAGTCCTTTGAAGGTGAAAGGGATGATTATCACAGTAAGTAGGGGTCTTTGAGAAGATTTGAAGCCCCCGAAGCAAAATGAACTAATTTGTCTAAAGATGCTGAAATAGTTTCATCATTTGTTCTGTGGATTTACTTTAAAATAATTTTCCTTAAATACATTTTTTGTTAATTTTTTTTCTTAATACTCAGATGCTGTTGTTGGAATAGAAGGATAAAAAGAGAAGAAATGTCCAACTTTACAACTGACTTTGCTAATGCACTAAACAAATTGATAGGAATGTGTTGGTGTTTTCCTTTAAAGTTACAGTAATAGAAACATAGGTGTATAGATACATATGTAGATATGTATACATATCCTTCACAAATACTGGGTTTCGTTATGGCTTTTGAGTTATTTCCACAGTGAATTTTTATTGTTTCTGTGATCCAGAGTGTGTTCACATTTTTTTTATTTAGTTTATTTTTTTTAGTTGTTGAAAAAAAATTTCCGCCTCCTCCCCCTTTCCCATTTCCCTCCCCCTCCTACCACACATCGCCTCTCCCCTCCCCCCTCCTCTCCCCCTCCCCCCACTTCATCCCCCCCTCCCTCTCGAGACTGAAGAGCAGTCCAGATTCCCTGCCCTGCGAGAAGTCCAAGGTCCTCCCACTTCTATCCAGGTCCAGGAAGGTGAGCATCCATCCGAACGCGCTAGGCTCCCACAAAACCAGTTCATGTATTAGGATTGAAACCCAGTGCCATTGTCCTTGGTTTCTCATCAGCCCTCATTGTCCGCCACATTCAGAGAGTCCGGTTTCATCCCATGCTTTTTCAGTCCCAGTCCCGCTGGCCTTGGTAAGCTCCCAATAGATCAGTTCCACTGTCTCAGTGGGTGGGTGCACCCCTCGTGGTCTTGACTTCCTTGTTCATGTTCTCCCTCCTTCTGCTCCTCATTTGGACCTTAAGAGCTCACTCCGGTGCTCCAATTTGGTGTGTTCACATTTTTAAAGGGTTTCTCTTACAGAATTTTGTATGTGACTATATAGGAAAGTTACTTTGCTGGGTAAATTTGAGTTTAGAAGGTAATGATTTCATACTGGAAGACTGAGTTTATTTCTGAGGAATTAAGTTAATATTTACTAAGATACTTTGTGTAAACCACTGATAGTTTGTATAATATTTTTATTTTTTGAAACACTTATAACATGTAAAGATACAGTACATATGATTTATGTACAAGATTTTTTCTTAAAGAATTATTTCTGGTACTTTTTATGTCTTTCTTACATGTTAAGAAATATTTTATTAGACTTACCTAAAATTTTGTTTTGTTTTGTTTTTGAGACAAAGTCTTAAGTGGCCCAGGCTGGCCTTGAACTGTCTATGTAACTGAGGATGACCTTGGACTTCTGATCTTTCTCTTCCACCTCTCAAGTTCTAAGATTAAAGACGTGTGCCACAGCACTTAAATCAATATTTTTAAATAATTGTTAGTTAAGAACATTTAACAAACTAATAACTCAAAATAAATATTATAGGAAAAAAATCTATAAATTTCAATAATCACTTATATGTATTGTTAATTTACTTTTTACAACTTCATAGTCATTTCATTAATTGTACATTTTTGTACAATTATTTTAAATAAGAACTAAAATATAAATCTAATCATAAATATTTGCTACTGTGCCACATTCATACAAGAGTTTTAGAATAATTTCATCCTACAAGAGGGTCTCAATTCACACAAATGGTAAGAGTTAAAGTATGAAAAGTTCCCATCATAAAAACAGATCAAATTCATCTGTCTAAACATCTAAAGAGAATTCTTGCTGCTTGGTATGTTTCTGGCCTCTATCATTTAAATCATCTGATTTAAATCATTAAAATTTAAACATAATGGGTGTCCAAATTAAGTGTAGGTGGTAAAGTCACTCAGTTTTTTAAAGTTTTTCTAGCATGCTAATGGACAGATTTCATTTATGTTTATTTACAGACCTCATTTTATATTTTTGATAGGTTTAAGAAATGGTTTTGATAGCATATTGATTACCATTTTAAGGGGGAAATAAAACGAATAGTTACAGTTCCGGTTATAAAAGTAAGATTTAGTCTTAGATTTTGAATGTCTGAAAAATCACAAAGATGAAAGTATATTTGTACTAAGAGACAAAACAAGTCCCTGGGAGTCATAACACTCTTGACTTTTCAAAGTGCAATGGACTATGCATTTAACTTTAAAAGCTAAGAAGTGAATTTAGGGTTTGCCTCTCTCTTGTGCCTCCCACTCTCTGAGCCTCCCTCCTTTCCCACCTCTTTTTATCATTTGATTTTCAGTATGCTGACAGAGTTTCCTCTCTTGTTTGTTTTATGTACACAGTTGTTTTTGATGAGCAGTGCACTCAAAAGGAACTACTTCTGATTTAAAATCCCATTACTTGAAATAGCAGTATTGTACCTAAGGAGTAAAACAGGCTGCTGAACCAGTGGACAGTGTCTGAATAGACATGTGCTGTGTACTAGTTCAGTGCACTTTCTTCTAGGGGACAAAGGAGGGCACTGCAGAAAAAGTCATTTTCACTGTAAAAAATTGTGTATTTATCATAAAAAGGAACTCATAAAATGTTCATGTTTAACAATGGAACAAAGGTTTGCAGGAGGCTTTGTGGGCTTTTTTTTTTTTTTTTTTTGTATAGTACTTCCAAATCAGTTGCTTTTTGTAGCTAGAGATTTGGAAGACGAGGCAGGTTTAGCCCCATTTCCAGCTCCTGGATCCCAGCCCTGTGGTGCAGGCACTACCCTCCTTTCCACTGCCATGGAGCCATGCTCTCACCTTTATTTGCTTCCATATTAGCCAGCATAACAACAACAACAGCAACAAAATTTCATTTTTAAAGGATTTATCCATTGAGATCAGGTGAGGTATTGCTATAATTTAAATTTTTCTTAATAAAGTAAGACTTGGTATAATTCTGCATTCACTATCCTAAAAGATGTTTTGGTTTCTTCCCCAAAAACCTTTTCTTTTGCAGGTATGTTGATTACAAATAATTTTGTAAAAGAATTTGACTGTGTTTGGTGCAAATGAGTAGGAAGAGTAGCTGGCTATGGCAGACATACATGGAACAAGTGCACAGCATGCTAATGTGCAGAGCTTTGGAGTTGGTAGTACGGCATAAGTCTTCTGTCTTTAGCAAAAGAATACTGGCTAGCCTCTTCCCTGTTTGGCATGCCAAGCTGTAGGGAAGAGACTGTGTTATTTATTTATTTTTTAAAACAATCCAATGGATTTGTTTTTCTTTGTATTTTGGGAACAACTTGAAGGATTTTTATCATTTTAGAAGATAGAGAATATGTATATCTATCTTTTAAATACTATAACCTAATATATATATAAATTATAGTATTAAAAAGGACAAATAGCTCTAATTATTGATGTTATTTCCTGGTATTTAATTTTTATAAATGTTTTTGTAAGTAATTGTAGTATTGCTTTTAAATAGTTTTAAAGTCATCCATAAATAAGTTCTGACCCAACATACTGCCTTAGTACAGTATTCTGAAGTACAGTACTCTGATGTGAATCTGAAACATGCCTGCATTTCCTTCATTTCTTCGTATGTATGTATACATATACCAGTTCCCAGGAAAAGCATACAATAAGCCTAATTTCTACATTGCATTGATAAAGAGCTTGGTATTTTGCCTTCATATAATTCAATTGTCTAGATGAAATAGAACATAAGTCTTTTCAAATTGTATTCAATCACAATTTTCAAAATGGTAACTTCATTTTTGGGATGCATGATGCCAAGATTATCTTTAATCAGCTTTTATTACTGGATGTGTAAGAATGGATGTTTTCCTACCTGGCCAGTAGGTTGTAGATTAAACTATTTTTCTGTAGATTCCCACTACATTTTCAAATCTATATTTGGAAAAAACTATAAAGTGCTATTAGTAAGTAAGTTAGCATCTTTGGCCTTATCTATGCATAATGTTCTTTAGTTTGATTTTGACAAACTCATTGACTCACAATTCCTTTGTAGTATTGTAACTGACTGTGATGTAATGAATTTTTCAAAGTGTTTATATGATTCATTATTAAAAAATAGGATATTATATAGCTTTGCATGAAATAAACTACATTTCTTTGAGCTACAATTGCTGGTTATTTATGCATCTTCCATTGAGATTAAACTGTTTTGAGACAATCTAGATATTCTTTATTCCTTATAATTCACTGTCAAATTTTATAGAACATTTAAAGATGGATAATTAAACAGATATACTCTTAGTATCTGTTCTGTCATGTGTTTACAATGAAAACAGAAGTAAACAGAAGCTTAATGTGCATGCTAGTGACAGTGAAAATAGAGACTTTTCTGTCCTGCCTGGTTGCCAATTTGTAGATGGGAGACTGCTGTCTGCCCAGTCCCACAATAAACAGACACTGTATTAATTAAATCAGTGCTTGGCCTATTAGATCTAGCTTCTTATTGGCTAGCTCTTACATCTTTGGTTAATCCATTTCTATTAATCTGTGAATCGCCACATGGCTGTGGCTTACCAGCAAGTTTCCAGCACATTTTTCTCTGGCAGCATCTACATAGCTTCTTCCTGACTCTGCCTTCTTTCTCCTACCGTTCAATTTAGTTTTCCCCACCTAGCTCTATTCTGCCCTATTACAGGCCAAAGAAGCTTCTTTATTCTCTAACCAATAAAAGCAACATATAGACACGCTTCCATTCCTTTTGTTTTCGAAGTAGAGCATATTATTTGTCTTCTGTACTCTTCTTATTCACTACACCACACAAACAGACCTAAACTGTCAGTTTCCGTTTCTTATATGTTTCCTAGAACTATTATTTTTAAAAATCCTTTAAAAACACAATAGTCTGTTATATCCAATTAAATGGCCTGAGCCATTTGACATCTCTTGAATACATAGAATAATCATCATCTGCCACATAGAGGTATGACATGCACAAATCCTTGCCTGTCTTATTTGATTTTGGTCCTTGAATGTTTCCCTTAACCATCAAACTATTTCTAGGAGACCAGCTTCAACAAAAATACTACTTATCAGAGTAGGGGTGTGGGGATTAGAAAATAAGTAGAGAATAAAGATACGAGTTGAAAGACCTGGATAAATCCAGACCCCTCTAGCAGAAAAAAAAAAAAAAAAAGCCAAAAAAAAAATCTAAGCAGGGAGAAAAGGATCAAAAATCTAAATTAATGGTTTAGTGACTCTGTTTCAGGAACTAGCTGAAGATAAAGTTAGATTATAATCTTGAGAAACAGTGATTATCACTGGTATTTTCGGAATTTTCCAATGACGCCCTGCCTACCCCCTTTGGATGGTTTCTTCCCTTAAATACTCCTTCTCCCAGCTACCCCTGGTCTAACTCTCGACCCCTGTGTGGGAAATGAGTTTCAGCCCCAGTGCACTAGTTCCTGTCCTGTTAATAAACCTCGTGTGATTGTAGCAAGGAAGGTCTCTCTTGAGTTCCTGGGGGGAGGGAGGTCATGTTATCCTGAGACTTGAGTGAGAGTCTCCCTGCCCCAGAGGTCTTTCAGAGTTAAAATAATAAAACAGAAAACATAGGATAGTATTGGGAGGGAGTTCTTGTGAATACTGAAATCACCCACATTTAATTTCCATTTGCTTAAAATACCCCTTACTCCAAAAGGTAGGAGTAAGATAAAAAAAAAAAAAATGTATTAACACAATACAAGGAAATGTTCACCAGTTGAAGATCTTGGGCTACATTCTTAGTAAACATTCTGTTGCTAGAACAAAAATGTCATACTCACACCCTGGACCAAAACACTCTAGGCAAACCACTCCCTGGGTGGAATCCATTGTTACCTCTCTAAGAGAATAGAAACTTAGTTGGACCCTTAGACTTTTGTTTGGGGTAGAAATAGCTTTACTTCTCTATTCCTGAAATACAAGATCTGGATATTAGCCACGCCTGTTGACAATAACCTTGCGAGTAGAATTCTAGGAGGGACCTTTGACTTGAAACAGACAATAACCTTGAAGTTCCAACTCTGAGCAAGGAATGGCAACAACTTCCAGGAAGTTGAAACTCTGACCTTCAGACAAGGTGGAAATGGGCTCACAGTTTGGGGTCTCCATAGCTAGTACTGTGATGATTAATTTTTCACACAGCTTTTTTTTCTTCACTCTAGCTATTACATTCCCTTCTTTTTATTTATTTTATGTATATGGTGCTCTATTTACATGTATACCTGTAAAAGAGCATTATATCCCATTAGAGGTGGCCCTGAGCCACTATGTGGGTGCTGGGAATTGAACTCAGGACCTTTGAAAGAGCAGGCATTGCTCTTAACCCATGAGCTATCTCTCCAAGCCTAGATTCCCTTCTTAATAAGCTTAATATAAAACATATACATTACACCTACTGTGTATATGGTACTTGTGATTTTTTTTTGGAGTTAACTGAAGCTTATTCTTGATATTCTTTTGTTTTTTTATTGAGAAAAGGAAAAGAAAAAAGTTTCCGCCTCCTCCCAGCCTCCCATTTCCCTCCCCCTCCCCCCACTCCTTTCCCCCTCCCCCCACTCCTTTCCCCCTCCCCCCACTCCTCTCCCCCTCCCTTTCCAATCCAAAGAGCAGTCAGGGTTCCCTGCCCTGTGGAAAG